ACCAGTGGGACATCAGCCAGGCAAAGAAAGAAAAGCAGCATTGGAATGGTCAGAGAGCTGTGAGGATGAGAATTTCAGCAGGAAAATAAGTTTAAGCAAATCTAAATAGCAGAATGGATAGACATAAAAAGAGACTAGGTCACTTAGACTCTGGGTGGTGAACACACAATATGATAAATAGATTATGTATTACAGAATTGTACATTTAAAACCTATGTAACTTTACTAACCATTGTCACCCCAATAAACTTTAATTAAAAAGAAAAATTAAAAAAAAGAGACGAAATCAGAAGTTTCCAGACTGTCTTAATTCATAGTACTCTTTGTGTCTCCATATTTTTTTCACAGTCCCTCCTAAACCCACTGAAATATGCTACAGTAGTTAGGGACAAATAACTTAATAAATATTCATGTTTTAATGATTTAGCAATCATGTAAAAATATAATGACATAGAGACAATATAATAATGTATTTTTTTCAAAAGTAACTCTAATTAGTTAGTAATGGGACCTCTATGTCTGCTGGGTAATACACAATTTTTCAAACTTAGAATCAGATCAGACACTTCTACCTTCATTTCCTGTTTCACACTGATTTTTGTGCTATACTTGGTTTTTAATCACAGCATCTACTGAAAACTTTGCTTAACAAAGCTATAACATGGCTGAATGTGAAAGTAAACCAAAACATAACTTAAAATTCTGAGAACATCCTTAGAAAGGAATATAGCATTATCTAATGTTAAAATTGTGAACTATCGATAGCCTGAGCTAGATGTCTGTGTGGCGTCTAATGGATGTGTATAGTACTGCCGTATTTCCTACAAACAGTTGCAGTATCCCACGTTGCCTTTTTGAGTTCATTGTAGTGCCGTGGGGCAACTCTGCAGCGACTTTGTGAACAAGGCCTGGATAGGTCCTGGAGAGTATTTAACCTGCTCAAAAATATCATTCGATATTATAGACCCAAGACTACTGGAGATTCTTCATTAGGGAAGAACCACAACAGAAGTACTAGTTGACAACACCTTTCCCTAAAAGAAGACTGAAATCGGATAATTGAATTCAAGTGTTTGATGGGGACCTAGTAAGTGTGATATGGCAATGGAAATAGAAAGTTAGACAAGAAGCTTCTTAAGAGAATAGGATCGAGGCACTAAGATGATAAAAATAATTTTTAAAAATGTTTTGTTGTACTTACAGTTTCCAATTTAAAACAGAGAAATAAAGCAATAGACTTGGCCCAATCATGGAAAATGGGAAAATAATCAAGTTTGTTTCCCAGGAAGATCCAGATGAGATTAACTTTGGGTATGTTGAGTGCTTGAGACATTATTGAACTATCACTCAGTACAGGACTGTTACAGGCTGAATTGTATCTACCCCAAAATTCATATGTTGAAGTCCTAACCCCCAGAACCTCAGAATGTGGCTGTATTTGTAGAAATGATCCTTAAAGGGCTAATTAAGTTAAAATGAGGTAATTAGTGTGAACCCTAATCCAATATTACTGGTATCCTTATAAGAAGAAGAAATTAGGATACAGACAGGTAAGGAAGACCAAGTGAGGACCCAGGGCAAAGATAGCTTTCTCTAAGCCAAGGTGAGAGGCCTCAGAAGAAACCAACCCTGTTAATACTTTGATCTCAGATTTCTATTGTTTAAGCCACCCAGTCTCTGCTACTTGTTATGGACGCAGAAGCAAACTAATGCATGGACACAGCAAAAGATGGAAGAACCAGGTATAAGCATAGTTCAATTCATGAGAGAGGGATGGAAAGTCAGTAAGAAAGGATAACTAAAAGAGAGTCAGAGTCTTAGAGATATTTGTACAATGAATACAGAATAAGAAGGAAAAATGTATATATAAATGTGACAGAGGTATGACCAAGCCATGGAAGAGTATCAGGACAGTTTAGTGCAATAGAAGACAAAGGAATCAAGAATTTTAAGAACTATTACATGTTACATAAATATTAAAAATAAAACAACAAAAACTCCATTTGTGGTAGCTATTAACAGTGTTGAACGATTTTTCAAGAGGCATTTTAATGAAGTATTAAAACTAAGTGTGAAAAACAGTCTGCAGTAGATAACATAAGAAAGAGTGAATGAGTAGGAATAAAAAAAAATGAGTGTAATAACCATGCCTGGGAGATTGACAGTGAAATGGATACATAAACATAGATAATAGCAGCTAGAGGAGACCATCAAGTCAATTGATGATTGCCATCCCTGTGCACATTTGATTTGATGGAGAGTGAAGATTAGGATACTGATGGGATTATAGGAGAGTGGGGAAGCAAGGACATGGAGGAACCCAGCAAAGGTGGGATTTGGAAAACGAAGCAGTGGATAAACGAAGAGGCAGATAATTCTTTATACAAAATTATACAAAAGGACACTTTTACTCTGCATATTTTCAAATCTCCCCGCCCCAAAATAATATCCCTCAGAAAAGAAGCATTGTCTTATAATTGTCTTGTTACAAAGACTCTCATACAATGGTATGTACTCTTTGAGAAAGACACATTAGCTGGAAACACCAAGAAATGTGTAGTTTTACTGCTTACGAATAGGTTATGGAGTTGAAGGAAAAATAAAGGCAAAAGAATTTAATAGAGAATGAGTAAGTACGTATTCCTGGGGGTACAACCTCTAAACTGCAGGATGATATCTTAAGCAATAATTTTTTTAAAAGTAACTTAAATAAGTACTTGACTAACTAGTTAGATGATCATAAATATATACCTCTAGGGTGAATAAAAAAGACAATGATTCTAATCTAATGGAAATGGGTACCTGGGGTTTGAGAGAAAAACATTTGGTATCGGTATCACTCATCTTTCAAAATTGTGTGTTTTTCACATAACTTAGGTGGAAGTTAAATTAATTCACTTATGAAAATTGTTAGATGATTCATAAACTGGTTCTAATAATGCCAAAGCATGGGTATTAAAGATGCATGAAAGATTTTGGAGGAAAATGCTTTATGAAATGTAATTAAAAGAGTAATTTTTAATTTTTATTACTGTTGTAAGTCCTCGAGACAATGGGTTGAATTAATCCTATTCCTTAGTTCATGCTTTATATTATCATTGGTCTGTGTAAGGCCCTTCTCTTTTTCTGCAGTCATTTGTTCCTTTTTTTCCACATTCCTACCTTCATGCCTCTCCCATATTATTTTATATGCTATATGATTTTATAATTTTATAAGTAGAAATGGAAATAACATTAACAATCAAATATTGTAACAAATCAAACATTTTTTCTATTTCAACTAAAGTCTTAGAAGATTGGATACTGCAATTGTACACAATTTGGCTCTTTTATTGGCCAAATAAGAATTACTGTCTTTAATTCTGAGTTTCTTATTTTGGATATATGTGGCAATTTCTTAAATTAATTTTGAGAATTAAGTTGATTTTTTTTTATTTTGGGGGGAAACATATTTCAGAAAAATAAAAACATGGTTCAAATTTTAAATAAAAGATATTTGGAAGCTCAAAGGTTTTGCAACGTTATACATCCATGTCACAATGTCCTTCTCAAACTCAATCCTACCTGCTAGTAAATATTTTAATTAATTTATACAATTCTAAATTGTTCAGTCCTCCTTGAAATATATAGTGTCCTTTTTATACTGCCTTTCTACACTCCTTTCATTGAGAAGATGTCTGGCTGATTTTGAACATGCACACTATGTGATATTTTGGATGCTTATCTTAATAGAACCAAAAACTTTTCACACAGATTCACCCCTCATTACTCACAATAATGCCAAGTGCTATAGTCCAGGCAGATATTTATTATTTTCTATATGAAAAGACATTAGAGTAAGGCTATTTCTCAGTGGAGCAGGGGAATAGAAGGTTTTTTTTCTGAATTTTTGTTCCTTATAGAGCTCCATGTAATGAGCTCTTAGAAGACATTGCAGAGCTGCAATTTAAAAACCCTGTTTAATCAGCCGTAGTGAGCTATGTGTGATTCCCTATGGAACAAGTTTGAGAGGAATTGGGTTCCTCCTCCTCCATCCAGTGCATCACTGGGAATTGCTAGGTGATCAGGGTTTGCCCTGAGAGGCCACAGCCAATGACTGCAAACCTCAGTCTCTGCTTGTCAGCATGGAGGAAACAGCAGAATACAAATCATCAGCTTTGTGTTATGAATATCTTTATTTACAATGCTGGAGTGGATTTTTTTTAAAAAAGAGTGCAGAATTTGCATTGAATCTGTCACTCAAGCTCCAGTGTTGATTTCTGTTTTATAAATGATCTTGCTTTCCTATTTTTTTCCCTTTTCTACAAGGTTACTGTCAATGTCAGAACATGTAAACCTCAAGCATACATTGTATGGGGCTTAGCATGGATGTTGGAAGGAAAGAAATTTGTTTAATAAAAAGGGAAAATAACATTCATTTAAAACAAGCATATTTGATTGCATAGGGGAAAGTCCATTTTCTTTGGGAGTTTTGATAGAATTTTATTATAATATAAAATATGATACCACTCTTTTATTTTTCTTTGACCAATTCCCAGCTTAGCTTATAGTCTGTGTAAAGTGCCTGTCAAATAGAGTGATGTCTTTGTTGAAAGCATTTGCACCCACAGAAAGTGAGTGACCCTCAGCGATGGCTAGAAATCTCCCTGTTTTGACAAAAATCCTTCTCTGTTTGGAAATTGTAAAGCTCAAGCTATAGACGAGGAAAATGACAGCAAGAGCTGTGTTTGGTTTCATGGAACTTAACCTATTTCAGCAAGCCTGAAATACTGGAGAACATAATACCTGAATTTATATTTGTGTCAGGCTCGCCGTTGATGGCTAAGGTTCGTATAAAGGTTACTCCTAAAGGAATGTCTATCATTCTCACTCTGCACTCGTGATTTCTGCTTCGAAATTCTTCCCTCTAGAACAATAAGATGATTTAAAAATAATAAGTAAAATATGATTCAGTAGTCCATCTCCTGTCCTGTAATGATTACACATCTCCACTCTTGTAGCTCACAGCAGCTGGAGGACAATTGACGTTCACCGTGTCATATGACCTCGAAGAAGAAACAGAAGAAGATACAGAACATGTACTCCAGCTTATGGTTATTTTAGAGGTACAGTACGGAGATGGTTATTTATGCTCAACTTGTTGGCACTCTTATGTGATTTGTGGTTATGCCTTACCTGGTTGGTTTGACATTAATTTACATACTACTATAGAAAAATATCGTTTTTTTCTGTGCCAGTCTTATGTTGCACTCTGAGACATAACCAGAAGACTGAGTATATTCATTGAGTTCCAGTGATAAAGACGGCCTTTCAACTAGCCTTAGAATTTAAATTAAGATCACAGTGGCCATGTTCCCAAGGAAATAAGTATGATGAAAGTGTTTAGGCTAATGCTGATTTACGTAGTTTTATTTTTTTCCATCTCCCCCGGCTTCCCAGTAGAATGTATTGGCTACTTCTTTGTTTATATGAGGCAGAAGTAAATGAAAAAGGAAAAGTGTTTCTTTAGGTATGTTTCAATCTTGACTTTAAAACTCCTAATTTAGATCAGAAAGATATAGGAGAAACTGCTTTCAGGGTTTAGAGGGCCATAGGCAATTCCCAAATGCTGGAAGCCTAAAGTTATCTTGGAGGTCTTCTCCCACCCTTTCTCATACCCCTCCAACCAACCCTCACACGTAACCAAAGGCACATACTTGCATGTACATTTATGATTCCAAATGGGTTGAAGTTCATAGCACTGGGCTCTGTTATTCCTTGTCTTGAACCTTTCATGCATGTGAATCAATGAAAAAATTCTTCCCCCAAAATGAATATTTCCAGTATTAGATGAAGTGGTCCAGATGATATATTTGAAAATTCAGACAATTAAGTTCGTGAACTTTCCACAGTGTACACATGGTGGAACTTGTGTGTGTGTGTGTGTGTGTGTGTGTGTGTATAATCACATATGTATATATGTACGTGTGTGTATCTATGAAACTAGAAGTATATCTTGGAATTCCTTTGCTATAAAAGGTGTCCTCTAAATGTAAAATGGTGAGAAGTTATATGTCATTAATATGAATGAACTAAGATAAGAAGGATACCCTAAACAGCATAGGTCAGTCAATATACTCCCTATTATGATGCCATTGTGAATATTAAGCTGTAGAGTTTTATCTTGTTTTTTTGTCTTCAATATAAAAAAGTCCTTTAAAACAATAACTTAAACTATTCTGTTTTCTTTCCTATTCTCCTATATAATCCATGTGCACTATAAAATAATATATTTGAAATATACAATTTTTGTGCACTGTGTAAAATGAAGGTATGTGTAATCACCTACGTGTATGAGTTTCCAGGTATCTATTATTTTAGTTAATGGGGGAAGAAAGGTCATGCATAATTAAGAAGCGTACGCTTTTGTAATGCATCTACTGAAGGCTGTTATTGAAATTGCCTTCTCTGCCTTTCATATGTACCAGAAATATGCTAAATGACAGTGAAAGCCAACCTGAAATTAAAAACCTGCTAAGGATAATCCACAAAGTGGAGAGTTCAAATATGGACACTTTTTCTCCTTTTATACCCTCTTTTCATGGTTTTATCCTTCTATACTTTCTTTGGCCCTTTAGGGAAAGAGCTTGAAAATCAGCACAGCCCAAGATGAGGTGTATCTGCAACCATCTGAAGAACACGTTAATGTATTATCACTTAAAGAGGAATCGTTTACCATACATGGCAGGAATGTCCCAGTCAGTAGAAAAGAGTTTATGACAGTGCTTGCGGATTTGAAGAGAGTCCTCATACAAATCACGTACAGCCTTAGGATGGATGCCATCTTCAGGTAAACTCAAGAACTGCACCTCCCCATGTTCACACATTTACCTTGGGGCAAGCTTGCCTTTGTTAGAAGAGCGACTTTGAAGATGTGGGTGGCGGGTTGTGGTCTTCAAATAGTAGATAATAATGGAGCACTGGTTTTCTGAAAAGCGTTGCTATTCAAGCTTTAAAAATTTAAATACCTAGAAGGAATTTGTCTTAGCCCTTTATTAGCATTGATGATTCCTTGACAATTCTGCCAGAACACGTGATAAAAGTGATCCCCGAACTGAGAAATGCCCTACAAGAAAATATGATGACTCAGTGGGAAACTAAAGAGATATAATTCCCGAGTACTCATATTCAGAAAGTGGTTTGTAAAATGTTTTCTTCCATTAATTAATTAACTAGCTTCTGACTTAATAGTATATAATTTATAATAAGAAATATAAGCACCCTCATTTAAATAATCACAAGTCTTTTTATAAAACACTATAAGATGATAACGGCTTACTGGTATAAAAGAAAGAGTATGAGCTTTGGGGCCAACCTGACTAGGAATTTAATAAGCTCTATTGCTTATTATATGTGTGACCTTTGGCCAGTGATTGGTCCTTGTTGGAAACTTGATTTCTTCAAGTGTAAAATAGAGATAATAGTGTCTACCTTTTAGGGTATTGTGAAAATGATGTGTGATAATTATGTAAAGTGCCCATTACCTAGAACTTCCAAAGGTCAGTTCCTTTTTATTCTCCAGATTTTTTTTTCCTTTAAAGAGAGAACTCCCTGACTTGAAGCAAACATGCTCATATCTGACTTACTGTAGGCTGCTATGCCATATATATATACTATGACATTTGTCTCTCAAACTTAAACTTCACCTGTGTCTGAATGAGTTATTTTCCTTTCTCTTTTTCTACTCTAATAATAAATAACACAAGCTATCATGGAAACTACCATTTAAGTTAGATTAAGTTAGATGATTAAATTTGATCATAAACTGACAACTTGGCATATCCGTAATCAAAGCAGTGTCTCCAATATTGATTTGTCTACAACAGGTTGGTTTCTTTTTTTCTTATTGCTGATGCTTCCCCAGCCCCATCATTTGCTTGTGCTACCTCATTTGTTTTTCACTTGTAGTGTTTCAACTAAGTGTAATCATCATTACCATCTCCCAAAGGAGGGAACTGCAGACTCATAAATAGAACCACTGCCAAACAACGTACCTCTTTTTCATAGGCCATGAAGCTGAGCTAAAATGCCATGAAGACGAAAAGCAACATTTAGGAATTAATTATGTTTTTCCCCATTTAGAGAATAGAGAATGTCATGATGTTTAAATAGTATAAAGAATTGAAGTCCTCTGGTTTTCAAAGTGAATGACAACAACATTGACAAAAAGTAGCTAGGGGGCTTATTTATTTTTCTCAGCATTGCTTCTCAGACTAGTTAATCCAAAGGCATTTTACCCTTGATTTATGTCAGATAATTTCAGTGTCTACCCATCTTAAAATCAGCAGTTTCATTTGAAGCCTTTCGAAGTTTTCCCATACATGAGTGACACATTCACAGAGCATGGCTGTGTCAACTGACACAGTAGCTAATCCAAATAGGTGGCTGCTTTCTGGCTCAAGAAGTAAAAGCCAATGTCAGATTTGAAACCCTACCCACTTCAGGTGAGCTGAAAGTCAGCATGAATCCTGAGTCAGTAAGCTTGTTATATTTTATTTATCGCTGATCTACTAGTGCATTGAGTCATATTTGTAAAACATGACTTGAATTGATTTCAACTTGTCTTGCACAGAGGTTCCTGACTTGGTATCCAGTTTGTATGAGAGCACAAGTCAATCGAAGCTATCTCAACAAAAATTCATGTTTAGAGTTATTTAAGGAGGATTTACTCCCATGGTGGTCCTACCAGCAAATGGGCTAGGTTCCTCAGTTATGGATTTACAGTAGTCCCCCCTTATCTACAGTGGATATGTTTCAGGACCCTCAGTGGATGCCTGAAACTGCGGATAGTACTGAACCCTGTATACTGTGTTTTTCCCATACATACATACCTATGATAAAATTTAATTTGTAAATTAGGCACAGTGAGAGATTAACAAGAATAACTAATAATAAAATAGAACAATTATACTAATATACTGTATTAAACATTATGTGAATGTGGTCTCCCTGTCTCTCCAGTAATTTTTATATCTTTCAGTCCAAATCTATTCCATCCATTTGTGTAGCCATCCCTTACTTGCAGTAAATGACTCGATGTCACTTGCTTCATGGGATGCCTTGCTGAAGTCTTCATAGGGCTCAATGCTTCCTGGTGCAACACGTTGCTATCAATTATGAAGTCGAGATCTTTTGCCTTTTTACTTAAAGGAACCACTTTATGGCTTTTCTTTGGCACATCTGAATGGCCAACGTCACTACTTTTGTGCTTTGGGACCATTATTAAGTAAAATAAGGGTTACTTGAACACAAGCACAACTATACCTCAATGGTCAATTTAATAGCCGAGATGGCTACTCTGTGACTAAAGGGTGGGTAGTGCATACAGCATGGACACACTGAACAAAGGGATGATTCACATCCCGGACAGGACAGAGCAAAAGGGTTTTGAGATCTCATCACACCACTCAGAACAGTGCCCAATTTAAAACTTATGAATTGTTTATTTCTGGAATTTTCCATTTAATATTTTCAGACTGTGGTTGACCGTGGGTAATCAAAACCATGGAAAGTGAAACTGCGGATAAGGGTGGACTACTGCAGATGGAATTGAATAGTGAAAGGAGAACTGGGCTGCAGGTTAGGGTTTGACTTTTGTTCTCAACTCAGCTATTTAATAGTTGTAACCATACATGTAGCTTTGACCCCTTTGGATTTTAATCACCTCATCTGTAATATAAGGAGCAGGACAATTGCTTGCCAATTTCAACAAGTCACTATGCGAATACAATTAGAGGGCTGCAAAAGCACCTTGCTAATGGCACATCAGCTCACAAATCTGAAGCATTTCTACTTGACCTACATCATTCCAAGGAACAATATTTTCTCCAAGTACCATTAAGACTCAGAGAATTCTAGAATAAAGCACATACTGATATTTCTAAAATTGTGACCGTTTTACTGCCATTTGTTTCCAGAATGCTGAGAGGCCCATACAAGAAAATCAATTGATTTCCTTCTCATTGTCTTCACTGATAAAGCAAAGATAAAAATAGAAAAAAATTGTCATCTTTATTTCAAGATTGCAAAATAAATCAACTAATTGTACATCTTTCTATGTTAAATTTTCCAAACCTCAGATGTAGGAGTATCCTTGATATTTAACTCATCAAGGAGCCCATTCAGCTTTTCTTAAACACCAATTTGATATATAACTTTGCAAAAAATATATTTCTCTTTAACCATATAGTAGACATTGTATAGTTCACCAAATTTCCAATCTCCTCCTTTTGGAATATTTAATTTCCCTAACCTTTGAGGGTAGATGTGATCATATGACTTGGTTTGGCCAATGAAATGTGAGCTGAAGTGATTTATCACCGCCCCCGTGCCCCCAGACCCGAAAAACACTGAATTGACAGAATAAGACTGTCTGAAGCTTATGCAGCTACCAGATCAAAACAGTCTGAAATATTACTAGCACATGAAGGTCAGCTGCCCTGAACAGCCATCCAGACCTGCAGAGGATTTTACATGAATAAACTTCTGTTTTCTGTTAAGCCACTGAGAATTTGGAGTCATTTGTTACCACAGTGTAACTGAGCCCATCATGACTTTATAGTGATGCTCCCATGTGTCTTTATTGCTTGAAAATAAATACAGAAACTTTCAAGCAAGATATTTTCACATGACTTCTAGAGAAAATGTGAGGGTTTTTTGTTTGTTTGTTTGTTTGTTTGTTTTTAGTTATTAAAAATACACAGAATTTATATAATAAATAATTCAGAAAAAAATTGTTATTAACAAAGGAGTCTTCCTAATGATTATAGAAATTGTGTTGATAGTATACTTTTCTTTTGGGAATTAAAGATACTGGTGATTATCTGTATAATTTGAAGAAATTATACTGGTAAGGACTTTAGGACTTAAAAAGGATTTGTGCGACTTCCTAGGTATCAGGTTTTTGGTAAGAGATTCAGCCAGTATTTATACCCACATGTTTTTCCTCCCTATAATCCTTGACTGCCTCTCAAATCTACTCTGTAAATATTGGATTCATTCAGTCTGACAACGTTTACTGAGCGCCTTCGCTGTGGACCTTTCTAAGTCTCGGTTCCCTCTTCTGTAAAATGGCAGAAACAATATTGAACTTTCAAGATTGAAGGCTAAGTAAGAAAAATGATGTATCTAAAACACCTGATATGCTACATAGCATATGCTGAGAGGCAATGCAGGGTAACAAGATGATCATTGGTTTTGGAGTTACATTTGGGTTTGAATTTGTGCTGTACCATTTGCTAACTGTATTATGTGGGCAAGGTGCCTTACTTCTCTGAGCCCCAGATTCATCATTTGTAAATGTGGACAAAAACATGATTTGACATCGGGTTCATTGATACTTAAATGAGATGTCTGTCATGCCTCCCATTATAATGCACAGAGATACTAGATACTCCATACATAATAATTATTATGATGTAGTAGTTCTAGCCTAACAACAAGGATACAAAGATGGATAAATGATCATTGAATTTTAAGAAAACATACTGCATCATGAATGGCAGATGTACATTTACCATAGTATAATAGTACTGTGGAAATGTGAACGGGGCACAGTGGTAGGGCTGAGGTAGCAAGATATGAATTCTCATATTAGCATTTAATATATTTTTTACGAATGGCTGTAACAGTAACAGATTCTGTCAGTTATTTCTTTTATTTGATGTGGGATTGAAAATGTTTGGAGAAAATGTCTAGCCCTTTCCTAGGTGGCCCACTCAGATATTAACTGGGCCAATGAATGATTTTGTTCAATTTTTAGGAATAGAGTAAAAATGACCAGGCTCCCCAAATTGAGTACTTTTTGGAACTTTCACAAGACAAAGATTTAAAAAAGTTCTGAGACATCATCTTATATTTTAACCAAAATGAAATAGAACGAAGAACCATGAGAGCAATAAAATCTTTATGGTGGTTAACCCAAAGTAACACTCATTTAAGTATAGAATTAAATGGATGTTTTCAATATTAAAAAAAAAGAAGGTGGATAGAAAAAAAGTTATTTAAAAAGGTTTAAAGAGAAAAGTCTTGTTTCAAAGAATGTTTAAATTTTATTTGTTTTTTTTTAGTGAAACATATCTAACTCTGATGGAAAATATAATAAGACTAAAAAAGAACAATTTTTAAGACAATGTTTATGATATTATTCTAACGTTTCTATACTAGCTTATATAATTATGTTTTTCTCTTCATTCATCATCTTCTCTGTATCTAAGAGTCATAATAATAAGGAGAGATAGCCAGCTAAAACATTTGGCTTAGTTGACAAATCTTTGATAGTTCATGCATCTCCAAACTTTAGTACTTTATTATTGACAGCACTGTGTATTTAAATGAATGCAGCCTGGTATCAAGAAAAGAAAATGACCATATTGAAGGAAAAAACAAACAAACAAAAAACTAGAGCCTTCTTCATGAGTAACACTTAAAACTGTTAAAACACATTAAAATCCCATTTAAGAAATAGCAGAACCTAATGAACATTGGGACTGCTCAGTGAATACTAATGTGGGATATTGCTGGAAAAGTTGTTTGCGTGTTAAAATTTCTCATAGCTCCAAATGGTTACATAGATTAAGGAGAGGAACATCTGTTGTTCAAAACACAAATGAAATTTGGCAGTTCATTGAAAATATTTTTGTTTTGTTATATTTTAAATTGCTCCTTAAAGTAGTACTCAATTACTCATCTTTCTGTTTCATAACTTTCCAATACTTTCTTTACATTTTGCTTATCAATTTTATATTGAAAACACTGAGACTGTATCTGTATACAATTTATTAGTCTACTGTTAAGTAAATGGTGATAGTCTTTTCTGTGATAATCAACTAATATAGTAATCATGAAATCATCTAATTCTGAATTTAAAGTAATCAGAAATATAAATTCATCGTATGACAAGTCTACTAATTGCAGGCAATTAAGCATCACAATACATTCGGATGAGTTCTGGCCTTTGGCCTCCAGTCCTAAATCTAACATTTGTCAATTTATTTTTTTTGTTAGATACAACAAGTAATTTGTCTTGTACTTATCTGATTTTATTCATCTGAAATGTAGATATTAATCTTTAGTGTATCATTTGTCATGGAGTATGTTACTAATTGTGTGTAATATTTGTCTATCCACTCGTTTATTCATTTAGGTATTCATGTATGCATTTAGTCTTGTATCCATCAACATAAGTGCATTGAGCTTGTATTGAGATGATCGGGGTAGGTATACAGATGACATAACAGTGTCTCTGTTCTCAAAGAGTAGCTCATAAGCTCACATCAGTATAAACAAGAACTAGCCTCAATTTAGTAACTCTTCCAGACCTTATGTTGTGTTGAGAAAAATTGCCAGATACAAAAAATTCACTCCTATATATATACCTCAAAGAATTAAACATAAGTACTCAAAAAATACTTTTACACAAATGTTTATAGCAGTACTATTTCCAAAGCCAAAAATGGGGGGTAAAAATCCATCAACAGATGAATAATCAAAATGTGACTTATTCATAAAGTAAAATATTACTCAGCTATAAAAAGAATGAAATACTGATACATGGTACAAGATGGATGAACCTTGAAAACATTATGCTAACATAGAGAAGCCAAACATAAAAAGTAATGTATGATACTATTTGTGTGAGATATCCAGAATAGGTAAATCCATAGAGCTACAAAGCAGATTTGGGCTTACCAAGGGCTAGGACAAGAGTGGAATAGGGAGTGACTGTTAAATAGGCAAAGGGTTTGCTTTGGGGCCAAAGAAAATATTTGGAACTGGATAGAGATAGTGGTTGCACAACACTGTGAATATACTAAATGACACTTTAAAGTGGTGACTTTTATGTGAATTTCACTCCAATTAGAAAAAAATAAAGTATTTCCAGTGACACTTCACGTACAAGTTTATTTGGTGAAAAAAACCAATGACCATTTAGTGATTTTCTAAAGATCTCTATGTTACCTAAACACTGTAAACCAGTGATTTTTAATGCTTACCAGTTAAGGACCGTCTGCCAGGTTGTCTAAGCTGTAACACCAGAGAAGAAAGCATTCAAGATAGTGTTGGATGAGTTCATCTGTAGCTAAAGATAATGTTTGTGTTTAAAGGGGACCAGCTAGCACTTAGTATCTGGCTATCCATCCAAAGGCCTATTTTCTGAGATTCCAAGTTGATTTTCCTGTTCTACTTCTTGATCATGTATGAATTCATGCATATCCATGGTACAATCAAAAGTCTAGGACTGGTAAAGTGAAGGTAAAAACAATAAAGATTTTAGAAACTTGTTGCTGAAAAGTTTACAGCTTTGTTAAAACTTGTCACTTTTGAAAATGCATTTAATGAGCCTATTATTTTAGCTTTGTTCTCTTGCTTGATTACAGCATACATTCCCAAAACTGGCAAGCTCTGTGGCAATTGTGAATTGCCAATCAGTAAAAAATCTACCACCATTCTTGAGAAATCAAGTACAAATGTATACCCTAGCAAGAGTCAGTTGCATCTTTCTTATGGTTAAAGGATGGCATATTATATGTTATGGCAGTCTATCGATCATTTAAAAAAATAATAATTATTATGCATCAGTAGCAGTCATTTAATTTTGTGCTCTTAAGATTGAAATTTATTTTAATTCATTAAAATGACAAAAGTTAGTTTGGGGACAAATAGTATTTCTTATACTACTCATGTAGTCATTTTTATCCTATTTCAACAGTCAATGAGAATGTTAATAAGATGCCTATGATTTAATAATCACCCACATGTGTTAATGTGCTATGTCTTATATCAAGAACTTTATATTTATTATTTAATTTATTCCTTTACTCAAACTCATGATGTGTGGACTCTTATATTATCCCCATTACATAGATGACAATATTGAGGTCTAAAGAGATTAAGTAATTCCTCCTTGGCTATTGGACTAGTAAAATGGCAGACATAGGATATGAATCCTGGTCGATCTGACTCGCGAGTTTGTGTTCTTAACAATGAAATTTTAAAAATTTCTTCTATTAAAAAAATGGGAAAAAGCTGATAAGACACCAGTAACATTCATTTAAATTGTAAACATATATTGTTTGCATAATATTTGGAAGGAAATAAATGCACACACAAATATAATATACGTATGCTGGATACCGCTTACATAATAGCATTTTTCAATTTAGTCAGACCAGCTTTTCCTAAATATAATGAGTGATACAAAATCACTCTACTAAAATCACCAGACTATACAGAAGTGCTAATACAATGAAACTCATAGATACAGAGAACAATGATTTTAATTTAGGCTTACTACAAATTAAGAAAATAGTTCTAATTAATTCAACTGAACATTTGAGAGTTAAATGTAAGAGTTCAGTTAAAAGTGAGAGTGTTTCACTTTTACTTACCATTGTGCAGATACATTTCTGAGAAAAACCAAAATAGCTCTCATTTTGTCCTTTCTTTTCCTTCCTTCCTTCCTTCCTTCCTTTCTCTCTCTCTCTCTCTCTCTCTCTCTCTCTCTCTCTCCTATCTTTGTTTTTAATTAAACGGTCAGAGTAAATATTCATTTTTACTGTTTCTCCATTTTTAATCCTGTGTGCCATACTCTTTTTCTACTTTATTCCTATTATCACCTGCTTTTCTAATTTAAATGTTAAACTATATCACTTATGTGTTTTCTGTTTTAAAAATCCTTTCAACTTGTGATTTTAAATTCTCTGTCTCTAAAAGAAAGAGAAAGAAAGAAAGAAAGAAAGAAAGAAAGAAAGAAAGAAAGAAAGAAAGAAAGGAAGAAAAAGAAAGCAAACAACCAAAAAGCAAGAAATGAGCAAGAATGTTCTCGTATCTTTTCAGTATTTGATGGTGGTAGTGGTTGTGAGCGCTTTTTACTGGGCAGGCTTTACCTGATATAGTGAATGATCAGAACTTCAAGTTACAGATGTTTGTTAGCCTTCTTTCTTAATACAGATAATTTGTTTATATTTATATTATTATTATTACACTATTCCTTAAGCTATATAATACCTAAGAGCTTGTTTGCTTATTTACCATCTCTTTTTCCCTTCTGCCCCAGGTTGGGCTCTGTTAGCCTTGAATCTGCTGTCCCCTATCCTACTGATGGGAGCTTTGCAGCAGCTGTGGAAGTTTGTCAGTGTCCACCAGGGTATACCGGCTCTTCTTGTGAAGTAAGTTTGCAAGAATATATCCTCAGTGCATTCCAAGTTCCTTCGTCATTGCTTTCAGTAAACTGTTCTAAAAAGAATCTAGTCCCCCTCCCCCTGTCAACAATTGCACAAATGATACTGTATTATTTAAAGAAGGAACCTGAATGTCTGCCAAAAAGTTATGGCTTTCAAATAGAGTGCAAGTCACATAATACCTTTTTGAAATTACGTTTCTTTTTGAGCTATTTTGCCTTACAGTAGCTGAAAAACTGATGCTTTTGTAAGGGTCTGTTCCTTATTAAATCAGTCAAAAAAAATAGGATGGATGATAGTGGAATAATATTTCAAAATATTTCCCCTTTTTTTCCACCTCAATACTTACAAAAAAGGTATCGCTATTTTTGTTTTTACTTTTTCTCTATTTTTTAATCCTGGGTACCACCACTTTCTTTACTTTATTCCTAAGAATACAGCCAAATTGCATTCATCCGAAGGATACAATCTTTAAAATGTCAAGAACAGAGTATATGAAAGAAATACCTTGATCTAGAAAATCCCTACAGGTCTTTGATTTGTATAGCACCTAAAGTTTGAGATATTTATTGTCTCAATATTCTAGATTCATAATGATATTAATGTTTCTTACTTAATACCACAGTGTGTCATTTTATGGTAATAATTTATATTTACTTCTATGTATTTTCTTTAGGTAGCTTGAAAATTGATTTTGCTTGAAACTTGGTCAATAACGTAAACACCATTTTCCTGATAGAAGGCATGACTTGCGGATAAATAGAAGCTTAAATTCTTTAAACATGGTGCCTTTAAGGAATCATTTGAGTGTACTAAGATGTTCCACTTCAGCACACTATGCCATTCATAGAAATACTCTAGGCCTTGCTTTGTCAGTTTTCTTATACTTGAAAATAATGCACGCTTCCAGAGAATGAATACACAGCATTTAGAGTTATATTTGTGACAAAATGTATTTTCTTTAACTGTGCTCAGATTTACCTACCTAGAAACACAACTAAATGTAGTTCGTTGAAGTATTTACTTTTCCAAAATTCTCTTAGAAAAGAGAAAAATATTGGGTTGTTGGAAAAGTCATGACACATTTTTGCAACAAAAAACAGAAAAAGTCCGTCATGACTTTCCCGACAACCTAATAGCTGTGGAAATGAATTAGCTCTATCAACTCAAATTTGAATTTACATGTAAAATACATACTGTATTTAATGAAACATATTCTTTTATTAAGAGCCTAGCAGTTTTTATTTCAAACCAGAAAACTCCCTTTAAAATTTTAAGTTCCTATTTCAATTGGAATAATAAAGACCTTGATTCTATTCTTGCTTTAATACTTATTCCCACATTAGAAATTCTCATACCCTTCATCATCTTTTATACAAGTTCCAAATGCCCATTAAATATAAAATTGTACGGTTAGAATTGTTTAACTGGCTATACTTTTTGTTTCTTCTCTCCTTTCTTCAGAAAGATTGAGAATCTTTGGTACATTATGCCTTAGATGCTGAGGGAATTATTAAAAAGATTACATCACAATCCCTGTTCTTAAAGACCTAACAATCTGTTTAGGGAGAAAGAATAAATACCTACAAAAATTGGATCACAGCACTATATAATTAAGAGACCATAAGTGGTACAGAACATAAGTGCAATAATCCTTCAAAGCGGTGAGCAATTCCAGTGGAGAGAGATGTCACACAAAGTATCCTGGAATGAAAACCCCTCAAATTGGGTGCTAAATAATGGTAACAATTAGGTAGGAAGAGGAAAAAGAGGAAAGCATCCCCGTGTAGAAGAGGCAGAACAAAGAAGCAGAGGAGTAATAATGAAAGCCTCCTGTGCCTCTCACACCATAATTGTTTGATAAAATCACTGTTTGGTAAATAAAATAATTTAGCTGAATCAGGAGAAAAATAAATTCTGGAACTCGAGTTTCTCTCTGACCTCTTCATTTCTTATACTCTCTAATAATTCCTTCTTTTCTTTATCAAAACTTCCTGTCCCCAGACTTACTATTATCCATTCTTACCCTATTCGGATTTCATTTGCTTTATTACTGAGTTCATAAGGCCAGACACTCTACCTTTGTATCAGTAATGTCCACAGATCCTTTAAGAGCCCAGGGAATTCCAAAGACCATTAATATTTTAATTCTAGATTTCAAGAAACAGAGCAAACAGTACCTCTTATTTCTTCTGGGACTACAATGTTTATTCAGAATCATTTTTCTCTTTTCTGCTTGACTTATAAGCTCCTCTATAGTTCACCTTTCAAATATTTTCTGTTTTCTAGTATCACCACAATGTATTTCACTTGAAAGGTGGGACAGGTGAGGAAGTGAAAGCAAAGTGGGGTATTGAAAACAAAGCCTTTTAATTCAAATCTCAGTTTCCCCTTCTATATGATGGGAATATTAACCACCCCTTAGAAGTGCCCATACTTTCATTTAGCTAACAGATATTGATGGTCACTTATTTTGAGACAATCAAGACCTAGACATGGATGATAACGTAATGAACAGTACAGATGCGATCCCTGCCCTCAAGGACATTACATTTAGTGAAAGGCTAGACTGTATACCAGAAACCAAATTTAAATAAATGTGATAAATGCCATGAAGAAAATAAACAGGGTACCCCAAAAGAGACACTGAGAATAGGCATAGGAGGAGTAGATTGGAGGAAGTACTTTATAAAAGGTTGTCAGGAAAGGCTCTCTGAAGTGGTAACATCTAAACTGAGATTAGGGTCACCTATGTAAAAGGAGCTGATGAAGAAGCCAGATAGAGTTTGGACCTGAAAGGAGGCAAGTATGGCTGTAACTTAGTAAACAAGGGGAGAATGGCAAAAGATGCTATTGGAGGAGCCAGACCAGCCAGATCTTTGCAAGTGTGATAAGAATTTGGGACTTATTTTAAGTGCAATAGGAAATCATTTGAAGGCTTTGTGCTGGGTGGTGCCATAACCTGAGTTATATTTTTTGGAAAAAAAATATAAATATAGTGTGAAGGATATATTGTAGAGGGCAAGAATGGTAAGAAGATTGGTTAATATGCTATTTTGACTGAACATAGTGATAATGGTTTGTGTTAGGCTAATGGCAGGAAATGTAGAAAGACGTGTTTATTCTACATATATTTTCATAGTAGAACCAGTAGGATTTACTGATAGATTACATGCTAGAGAAGAGTTGAAAGAAATAAAGCTTTAATAAAGAAAGAAAGCGTGGGAGAGGAGTAGCTGGGGAGGAGAGGAGGGAGGATGGAATCAATGGTCCATTTTAGAAATATTAGGTTTGAAAAGCTCGTGAAGTGTAGATCTCAATTTACAGTTAGAATATGCAGGTCTTGAACTCAGAATATCTGTCTGGTCTAGATATATGTATTTGGAAGGAATCATCAACTATGGGACTGCATAAAATTACCTAGCAGAGAGTGTAATAAAAAAGAGAAAAGTAACAGTGTCCCCGGGGCTCCTGACAATGAGAAGTAGAGTCAAAGAGGAGGCAGCAAAGGCAGAAACTTGGGGACTGTGATGTCATGAAAATGACAAGTGGAGGGCATTGAGGGTAAAAGGAATCTACTAAGCCAATGTTGATGAGAGGTCAGATCAAACATAATTGTCCATTGGATTTGGCTCCCTGAAATTTGGTGACATGGACAAGAGCAGTTTTAATTGAGTGATGGTGGCACAAGACAGATTAGAATGGAATAAATAGTGAAAGGAGAGTGAGGGGGAAAGATTTGTAGAGTACTTTTACAAAAAAGAAAAGCAGGTCGGTAACTAGAAAGTTATGGGATATTAAGGAAATAATTTTGTCATTTTTGTTATTTCTGTTAGTTAATTTTTGATGGACATACTAGATCATATTTTTGAACTGACAGTAGTGATCCAATAGGAAACAATGTTATTACTGGTGCAGTACAGAAAGGTAATATTGGAAACACAATAGATAGTGGAATACAGGTTAGAAGTGCAGTGATATTCCTTTGAGAGGGTGAGGAACCCTGCATGCCCCATCCCCTCTGTTTCAGAGGGGACTATAGCAAATGGAGATATGCTTGTAATTCCAGACTAGATAGTGGAAAGATGGCTTCCAAAGGCTTCAATTGTCTCTCTGACTAAGGAGATGACATCACTGGCTGAGAAAGAGAAGTAAGGAGAAGGAAGATGTGGTTTAAGCAGCACATTTGCAGAGTATAAAAATAAAGCTTAATCAGAGTTCCATTAATAGTTGTAAGAAAAGAATACATCAGTTCTCTTCCTGTTACCAACATCCTTAATTTCTATCCCCTTCTGGACACGTAGCTTCACTAGTTTTTAGAAATGTATATTACAGAAGAAAATCTCCTGTATAATGAATCTAGGGTGGCAAACATTTTAATGGGAAGACGTTATTAAGGGATGGAAAATTACACCTTTTCTGTACTGTCCAAATTAAGAGGAAAGTTGATTTTGCTTTCCTTTCAGATATGAAGTATTGACACATCCTTTTTTTATGTGTTTATTATTGATGTTCAAATTTAAGAATCCTTATATCCTGAGGCAGGAGGAACATTTCTACCAATATACAACACAATTCTATATACTTTATTACTTCAGTGATGTCTCTCGTTTTCATTTTCAACTGGAAAAAAAATGGCCTTTTCATGATATAGCATGCTGTAGTTACCCATCCAGAAATATAGTAAATAACCCACAAAACACAATTATAACTTGAGGGAGACCATAAGCTCCTAGGGAGCAGCAATGTTTGCCCCCGCTGTTTTGCATCCCATCCAGTTTGTAGTAATCCCCACAGAATAGAAACTCAATTAAGACCTGTTACTGACACAGGTACCCTAAGGCCCAAATGCCCTTTTAAAGTCAGAATTTTGTTTTTATGTGATAAAGTGTTTCATACTTGACAAAAGGAATGGCGAATAAAAGTAAGAGTTCTAGTAGAATAATACTATAAAATATCAAGGGAGTATATGGTAAATAAATCGTAAACTGTTTTGTGTCAATTTGAGAAAGTATGATAGAATGAAGGGAATTCAGAATGAAAGACATGAGTTATATGTGTGTAGAAATCAGCGGTGTATGTGATCAAATGTAAGGGTGGGGGTGCTACCTTTCTTCCAAATCGTTGCAAAGCTCCTTTGAAGTGACGGTGTTGAGGGCAGTTTGTATGTGGGAAAGGAAGCACGTTCCAGAGAATCAACATCCTTGGGATAACATTAGGTGCTAAGATAGGCTGTGGCTCTCTTAAGAATCCTTTTATGCTGGTTGCTTGTTTTTCAGTACCTTTTCCTCTATATTCCTGTCTGTGCTTTTTACTTTGAGACTGTCACATTTCAATTCTTTATATCTCTACTTTATTTTGCCATTTCAGAAGAAACACCAAGCTAATGCTTCCTCTAATCTCATTCCTGCCAATAACACTAAGGTCAGTACAAAGCCTCAATGTCAGGCGGCATAGCTCTGTAGCAGTGTTTCGATCTTGACAAAGTTTTGACAAGCACGTTTGCTGAGTTGGCTACCTAAATAATTTTTTTCTTTATCCAAAAAAGACAAAAAACAAACCTGATTTTAAAAAATCATTGAGATTAACTTGAAACCTTCTCTTTCTTTTAGTTGTGTTGGCCTAGGCACAGACGAGTTAATGGCACAATTTTTGGTGGCATCTGTGAGCCATGTCAGTGCTTTGGTCATGCCGATTCCTGTGATGACATCACCGGGGAATGCCTGGTAAGTGCTCTCTTCTTTGGGGATGCTGACTGACAAGACTGAAATCAACTCAACTGGCCCTGCGATTCAATTACTATGTTTGGGGCCTTAAACACTTGAGTCAAGAAGTGATTTGACAGACATCTCTGTATTGAACTGAATTGGAAGTTGAGAATGCCCTTTCATATGTGCACACTCTCTGAATCACAGGTATTAGGAAGTGTTTATTCATATTAGTCCATGGGTTGAATTTGGATCAGATACGTTAAAACAAAACATAACTAATGACTGAGATGCTGATCTACCATGAATATATATGGTTTCAATACCCTCTATAAATCTATCAAAAACAGACTGTACTCTAACAGGAAACGATTCGTATCCCCATAATATGAACGTAAACTATAACCTTTGTAATAGACATAATTCAGTTTTTTTCACATTGAAAATGAGAGCATACTGCATTTTTTATTTTTAAATTTCCTCATTTAGCTAAATACAAAGCATCATATCTAGATTAAAAAGTAATAATCATATGCAATACATATTCACCAGGGCTGCTTATTCCTACAATTAACTTTACACTTTAACCAGAAAAAAATAAATAAATAAAATAAAGCTCTACAAAGGGCAAAGCACTTTCTATCCTGCTAAGGCCTTGGGTTGGAGAATTACACTGAATAGACCATTCTGATTAACTCAAGGGCTTGCTAGTTTTATATTGTCTGACATGGCGTGAAGCTTGAAACAGCACTTCTCATTTCATTAGTCTTGCAGAAACACAATTTGAAATGGTGCCAATTTAGGAGGATATCATATTTTCATCTCCCTGTAGAATTTAAGGCAGACTTTGTTCTCAGTATTTCTTAATGTTCTCCCTTTCTCTTGCTCATTTTTCCCTTCCTTTCTTCTACTTAAAAAGTTTATAAGAAAAATCCAAAATGAAGATTTGTGGCTTTTGTTTCAATGTAATTCGTCATTTAAGTTTATTGATGCTTTTTCTGTTTTCTCTACATAGGATTTTGTTTAATTGCATTGCAATATAAAGCATGATAGACTTAATTTGTGGATCAGTGGATTTTTCAAATGGCCTTTTTTATGAATCGAAAGTCTAAGTGATTTTGATTTTAATTACAACATAAGTCTTTTAAAATACTGAGTTACCTTTAAACACTTTACTAACATGGAATAGGAAATATTTAGACCAAAACTGATAAGACAAAAATAAATATATCACAATGCCAGACTTACGATGCTGCCAATAGTAATATTTTATGTTGAATTCATTAGCATTAAATCAGATCATGCTGTTGGTCCATTTGGCTTTGTGATAGTTGTAAGAATGGAAGTCCCCCCCCCACTGCCTTTTTTTATAAGAATAAAATAGTTTCATTCAGCATAATTTTGAGAGGGAGAAGGGTGACAGCAATGGTTATTTGAGGCTTTTTACTAATGAAACTGAGTTTATTGACTGTTTCGTGGACAGGAAGATAGGATCCCATCTTCAAATAACAGAGGGAATCTTAGGGAAACAGAATTCTAGATGATAGAGACAGAATCTAGTGTTTTCTGGATTTCCCATTGTGGCTGATAAATAGGTGATTGATCATGAAAGATATTTTCTGGAGACTTTCAACTCTCCTTTACCTGAAATGGTGTTGATAGCTAAGTGCTGACATCCCATTTTGAGCACGTTGGTCCGGATAAGATCCACAAAGAGAAAAGTATTTGAATGTTGCAAATCAAGGGCATTCTTGTTATTCACTTGACCAACGCTCTAGCCTGTTTATTATTTACGTTTTCCTCCAGCATTAAATAGATAATGTATGAAACTTACACATAAATGGCTTCTTAGTTAGCTTGGTTTTGAAACCTGATTAGAAATGAACTGAAATTTATTTTTCATATCAGAACAAAATCCAGACCTCTGTTCTAGTGTGGACCTATATGAAAAAGTCATTTTAATTCAAAGGACATTTGAAGTGACCCTGGGAATATTCAAAGCCACATGGGAAGATTGCATACATGCTCCTTGTCATTGTTCTTGTGATACATGATATGAACAGACATTTGGAAAGCAGTTTTGTATCAAGGCACCTATAAAAATAACCAGCACATCAAAGTGAACCTTTCTTTTTTTTTTCAGTTTTGGTTTCCAGTACATTATTGTCTAATGTGTTATAGTTTCCATTGCAAAAACACTTGAGTTTTAAGATTAATTTTAGTGTTTTCATTAAGCAAAATAAGACATTAGGAAATGTAAGAAGCTTGTACATGTTATTTTTCTTTTAAATCTTTAGTTAAAGAAAAACAGGATCTCTAGGTTGTACAAGGATTTCAGTTAAGGTTTAGAAACAACATTTTCAACTAGGTTAAGACATAATCAGCTTTATGATCTTATTTTTTAAAACTCCTAAGCCTTTGAAGATATAATTTTGATTGTCATTATGATAGTATGCTGAGAACATTGCAAGAAACATACAATTTTTCTGCAATACCCAACTTTAGTTAACTTGAATCTTAAAGGAACTAATATGAAGATGAAATGAAAGAGGGAAATCTTTCTTCCACTTGACCCGTGCTTTGCGCATTCCATCCCATTATGCTGTTATTTAGAAAACTGTTGATGGTGAAGCTAACCTCTGTGCTATCTTTGAAAAAGGACTATTAAATAAATTTGAGACAGAATTCAAAATACCTTAAAGAAAGCCTATTTTCAAGTATCACCAGATACTAAGGAATTACCTATTCACTTGTGGTTCTGAAACTGTCATGGGATTTCAGAGCTTGAAAACTTCATAAATCATAGGCTTTAGCCCCCTTATTTTACACATCATAAGTGAAAGGTTCAGAGAGTTAAATAAGTGGACTTTAATATCTCTATTATTATCTTCTACTTAAATAAAGAATCTGTCTTTCCCCAAGGAATTAACAAGCCATGTTCAAAAGTATGTACGTGTGTGATTTTTATTAAATCCACTTACTAAATGTAATTAAAATTGAGCTTCTCTGAAATACACTGAAAATACACTTTATACTGAAATAAGTGATAATTCAGAACTTTCATTAAATTAGGTAGACTATCCCAGTGGTCACCCAGATTGCTCAAATTTAGCTTAAAATGAATTTATATTTCAGCTATTTTCTCTATGTATTTGGTTCTAATCATAACAAAGTTTTTGCACTCCTAAGAGCTGATGAACTCTTTATTAACATGAGAAAAAATATTGCAATTTTATATGCTTGTAAAATTAAAAATGTATTTCAGTCATAATGAATCCAAGCTGTATGATATTTAATAGGTACTAGATAAGTTTTATTGTACCATTGGAGACTGAAGAAGTTCTGTCTACACGATGCCAAAACGTCATGCAAATTTATCTAATTGTGCTATTGGAAGCTTTATAGACAATTCCATTGCTTGATTAACTGGATTATTCACCTTTAAACCAGTCTTGATGAGTTTTGTGAACACAGTCTGAATTGATGAATGTACTTTAATTAACATGAAGAAATCAAGATATAAATTATTTTTATTCTTTATTTTTGAAAAGGACATGGATTCAATAAATACTTATTGACAGAAAAACTCAGTTTTAATTTTAAAAAAGTGTCTAAGGGAAACTGTTATATCCCTTGTGATTATATATATATATATATATATATATATATATATATATATATATATATATACACACACACACACATATATATATTTAAAATTTTTCAATATTCTCATTATTTATGAGTTGAACAATCCCCTCATAGATGTAATACATTAGTGCATTGTCCAAACGGTCAGAGTCCATTAAGATCCAAATTAATCTCTGAAGTAAGAGGTCCACAGTCCCAGAGGGTTTGTATGATTAGTCACCCTTTTCCTTAAATCAGCACTTTTAAGCTAAACAATTGCTTTTTACCTAGAATCAGCTATAGTTTCCATTGAACATACTTTATTAGGGTCCTATGGCTAGTCACACATACACATACATGCACAATCACATGTACTTCTTTAAAAAAAACATTTAAAACTAAAAAAAAGAAAAGATGATTTGCATTATGAAAAAAATTATAGTGAATTTCAGTCATCTTTTTGCAAGTATACATATCCTGAAACTAGTGTGTGGTTTATAAGCTAGATATTTAATTAATTTTCAATGCTATCTCTCAGCTGTACAATTGATCATTTAATGTGGGAAGTTATTCTTCCTGGAAGGGAACAGACTAATGGCTCTGTAGACTTATTTTTGGTAACATGTTGTTGCTTGAGACCAAAATAATAAACTTTGATGTGCATTTCTTTCTTAGCACTGTAAGGATCACACAGGTGGCCCATATTGCAATAAATGTCTTCCTGGTTTTTATGGCGACCCTACTAAAGGAACCTCTGAAGACTGTCAGCCCTGTGCCTGTCCACTCAATGTCCCATCCAATAAGTGAGTAACAAACCTACTTTCATGAGCTGGGCATCCAGTTCTATAAGTGCATTTTTGATGTAGACTATACTCTTTCTCTTGTCACACATGAATAAATAATAAATATATGCATAAATTTCTCAGGAAGGTAATATGAGTTTTTTTAAATATAAAATATTTAAAGTTATGACTATTCTGCAGAATTTTTTATATTTTAGCTGTAGTTTTAGTGATTTAATACGTAAGAGAAAGAACTCAAGTAGAATTTCTAAACTAACTCCAAAGAACAGACATATTTTATACAAACATGTACACATGTGTACACACACACACACACACACACACATTTTCATACTGTGATAAAAAAAAAAGACCATTGATATAAATGCTGCTCATTTGTGTCCCAGTCTCACACTATTTATTTTTAAATCTTGGGCAAGTCACAAACCCCTCAAAAAGGTAAAATGAGATCAATCTAGTGGGTTTTTAAGCACCAGTCCTACCCCTTAGTTATCATAGGGTATATCATATTATCATATAATATCATACTCTGTGTGTGTGTGTATGAAGTTTATCTTATCAATACATTTATAGTGGTGAGCATTATATTATAAATTATAGAAATATTAAAATATGGGTGATAATTAGCATCTTATTTTGCATAAACTAGATCTTGAAAAGGTTTACTGCAAACTTCATGTAATTTTTCTAGTCATCCAGTTTTCTTTCTCTTTGTTCATTCCTTTCTCTCTCTCTCCCTCCCTCTCCCTCTCCCTCTCTTTCTCCTTCTCCCCTCCCCTCTTTTCTCCTCCCTACCCTCCCACTTTCCTCTCTTTCTTCCCTCCTTTCATTCTTCTTTTTTTTCTTTTTTTTTCTTCTATTGTTCACCTAGAATAAGAAACTCTTAAAGAAAACTTTGAAAACTATATATTTTGTCTGGCCCTTCCACTTACCTTTTAGGGGAATACTCTATTTCAGCTGCTCTAATTCACATTCCCTCAGGGTGGCCATCATTAAGTAAATCCCTAAGCAAGAAAATGAAGCCTACTTTTTTTTATTTAAATGGGGCATACTATGTTGAACCAAAATGAACTTTTTTTACTAGTAAAAAATTGTAAGTAACTATGATTTTAAGTAACACTTTTTTTGAGAACCCTTTTAAAGAAAAGCTTGTTGCTTAATAAAGTTCATATTATAGTGTGCACTTTCCAACTATTTTAAAATGCTGTATAGTAACAATTTGTGATGATTTTTAAATGAAATCTGCCAGCTATGGTTTTTAGTGTGAAGGTGTTATCAAGTTGGTCATACTCTGAGGTCTTATCCGAGATACTACTAATGAAAATGGTGTTTTGTTTGGGGAGTCAATGAATACTACAATCTAAAGACTTTGAGAATAATTCTGTCATTAAGTTTAGGAAGTTCTCATTGGAATCATGCTTCTTACTCTTCAGTTCCCATGAAACCCTGGTCCTCCTACCAACAGCCTTCCTTCCTCAGAACTTTCCACCTTAGTCATTGGAAAAGATGAGAAAAAACTAATATTTAATGAAAACAGACTACTATATTCTAGGCATAGAATCAAGCACTATATTTGGTATTAGTTTATCTTCAAAAACAACCCAAAAATATGGGTATTACTACTCCCATTTTATAGATTTAAAAAAATTTTTTGAGTGGGAAAATAGCACTATGGTATCATTCTGGAGCTAGAATTCTTTGATTTACATGCCAAGTTCCACACTTTCTGACTGTGTGACTTTGGAAAAGGTACTTAAATTCTCTCTGTGTTAGATCTGTCACTGTGATAATTAGGACCATTTCATAGGGTTGTCATGAGAATTACATAAATTAAAATACACACAGCACTTAAAACAATGATTGGACATGGTGAGCCCCAAATAAGGATTATTATCAAGTAACTTGCTCAGAGTTATAAAATATTAAAATATCAGAGTTGGAATTTTAAGTCCATCTGCTTTCCAGTCATCTACAATCTATGCTGTGGACTTCTTTAACAAACCCACTGCATTTTAAGTGATAACATTAAAATCAACTAAATGGGAAATTGAGTTAATATATATTAGTGATCTAATCATTTCTAGAGTTTAAGGCATGAGCCTGGGTGGGCACAAAACTGAAGATCATTGGCAACCAAGGGTGTCAGAGAAGAGGGAGTGGCAAAATGGAAATCTGGAAAATAATGAATATATGAGAACAAATTAAATTCCTTCACAATTGATTCGTCAGCCTTTGCTTGACAATAATATGATGCAAACCTTGCTCTCTGGTGTATTTGTGAAGGATTAGATCATGCAGTGGAGGTCCTACCCATTCAATATGGCTGAATTATTTCTCAGGAACCATCCAATGTACACGAAACCCATTGTCCACACGATCTTTCACTGAAGCAAGCAGAAGGTTTGCACCTCTCCATTCATTTGCATTGAACTTCTTCTCAAACAAAATGTCTTAGGGACTAACTTGCACAGCTGTCAATCCAGCAGAGCTGGCCATTCACAGTACCATGGGAATCCTAGACTAATACATTTTTGCAGCTGTGTAATTAATTGAACATATAGTGCTTATGGATTAATCCTCAGGCTGTCCAACATTGCTATAAATGCAGAGGGGCCATCTACAGGAGAACTTTGGGTAATTATAGGCATTAATGGTCCATCCTTCTCTGTTTACTATGTTTCTATCTTAATAATGGGTTCCAATTGTATTTCTGAAAGGAAAAAAGAGTCAGCAAGCATTAAAACACCATCCATTAATGCTAAAGGGACTGAGGTCCCAGGGTCCAATGATTGTATTTCCTAAAGTATGCGTATGTTAATTCCAATTTTGTATTTATACAGATCTTGGTGGTTTTTTTAAAAAAAAGGCAATTCAATAACAATATTGGTATAAGTATTTAAACATCGTTTCATTTATATTAAATAATTATTAAATAAGTAATAATTTTATCCTTCAGGTAGAATTGGGAATAGATTATTTTAAATTCTATCTTTAAATGTGGCATTTTCATAGTAGAAAGAGGGGACAGTGATAATCTGCTTATTTATAGCATCCTAGAAGATTGTATTCAGAATTATAAAGTCTTTTAAATTTAAAACAACTTGGAAAATTTCCTGCATAATTGTGATGAGAAAAATTCATTTTAATCTAATAACCTGGTTGTTTAACATCACTACATAATGGGACATAATGCCTTAGGGGCACTCTCCTGTTTAAAAAGCTTTTAAACAGCCATTACTGGTATAATCTGAATTAGAAACTCTGATGAATAAATTGAATATAATATTGAATACATTAAACATGAATATGTTGATACAAATATATTAATATGAATGTATGATATCCATATGACTATCCCGTACATATAACATATAATTCAGAAGATGGGATTTGAAATTTCACAGGTTATTCAGAGAAAAAAAATCAGCTAAACGTTGCTCAACCTTCATCTAAAAGTATAAAGCGTAGTGATGATTTTGCCTCGGTGATTTATCTATTTAATCCCTGGTCATAAATCTTATAAATCACAAGCATTTTGGCTCCAAATTTCTTACATCATATTGCTAAATAAATCAGATATGTAGGGAGATAGAGATAGATTGGTGTATTTTTCATGATGTATGAATACAGACAAGCATATACTATTTAAATTATACATATATATCAACTTCATCAACTTTTCACAGTGTCCACACTTTGCTTAGCCTTCTCATCTTGGTGATGTATATATTCTAGCTATAGATTGTAACTAGGCAGTAAAATTTATCTCTAGAGAGAGAAATGAAATTGTAAATATTTCAGATGTTTTATATTCATTAATTTCTGGCATCACATTGCTTATAGATTAAATATTATATGAAAAAGACACACAATTGTTTGCCTTTGAACACTCAAGATGTGTTTGAATAGATATTATTGAAATCATAGGTTTTCATCAGTTATGTAATAAAATTAGAGATATTCTTGACACAAGGCTGGACAGAAGGTAGGCCTCTGGTAAATTCTATCTACTAATTTTGTGAATACTTTTTTGTTGGCATTGATAATGCTAAAATTTAAATTTTTGAAAGAATGGGGCATTTCTGGAGCTGACCCTGGAGCTCACTCATGGGGCCACAGTGAATTATTGTTGTTAAAATTGGTAATTATAATAGAGAAATATCATTCTCTAATATTATTCTAAAGCAAAAGACAAATTTAAGAAAACATTCAACAGTATTTTTTAGGAATTTTAGGCTGTGTTAGATATTTTAGAGCACTTTCCTACACAGTATTTTATGTTCATATGGGCAATAATGATATATCATACTAGTCCCATAAACTCCAGAGAAATTAAATGTCTTGATTGTGATCATACAGCTTGCTTGTGGCAGAACCAATATTAGAACCCATATATTCACCTCTCTGTGCTTCTTCCAATGGGGCTATTGAAATAGAAACAATTTCAGAGACATTGAAGAGAGAAAAAAAATTAATAGAACTTAATACTAGACCAACTGCTGTAAATGTTCATCGTAAAACATGACTCTAGTTTGGCAGGAGTTATGCTAACTCAAATGCAAGGGAATAGAGCAGGATGAGAAAGTCCAAGTTTAATTATTTAATGAGTAACTAAATACCTTAAAATTTAAACAAATCAGTATACTTTGGCAGAAATTAAAGTATTAAATTGCAGCCATGATGTATCGTGCCACTAAGCTAAGAGTTTGCTTTCATACTTTTTAGGTATGAAAGGCTTTATTAGGTAGATCATATTATCTCATTTTGCAGAATGAAAAACTCAGGTTTAGAGAAATATAGCATCCAAAGACATAGAAAATAACCCAGTTCTAATTACAAAGCCTAATGATGGACATTAATTCCGATTTCATAGTATTTGCAGATAACTAAAGAAATATGTGTTTACTTAATGGTTCTCCTAAGGATATGTAAAAAGAAATCACTGAACTGAAAGAAGAAAACACTTATGGATAACTTCAAAAATCCATGTGTCCAAAACTGAAATCGTGAAGTAAATGAGTTTTCCCTTCATTTTTCTCCTCTTCCTCTCAGTCCTCTGCTCCTCCTGTGGTTGGGCTTGGACATCCTCATTACCCAGAGCCCCGGCTTCCTCACTGATGCTTTGCAGCGTCTCATCCTTTTTGGATTTTCTTTCCCTACTCAAGTGTTTCAGGTTACAAGTAGTTAAAAAGAGTCCCTCTCCCCTATTGTATGTATATACAAACACATAATATGCCCTAATTGTCTGACCCTCATGATGGAAATATTATACCAGTGACAAAAGGAGTGCTTATTCCGAGGCAATTTGTTTCCCTCTTGCATTAGCTGTGAGAAAGCTCAAAGCCATGTGTGGATCGGTCACTATCAAATGAATGTACCTTACAAAATACACTTTGCACTCTAAATATACCCTTGATTTTCTATTATTTTTAGTGTTTTTTTTTTCTTTTTAACCTTATTGTGTCATTTTATCTTAATGTACGTATTTTGATAGAAATACTTTCTTTTTGGAGCAAGGCTAATTGTATCTACATGTATTTATTCATATATACATGTGTTCACATACATAGTCATACACATATACACATATATGTACTTATAAATTAATGATTATAAATATAAAAAAATCTATGTTCAGCCATTAAGAAGGACTATTTGCATGTGCAGATTCTTGCTATGTAGTCCAAAAACAGCGTCTCTTCCTCCCTCTATTTATGGAAAATGATTGCTGTTCTTGGATGTCTTGTGTCTTCTGTGGCATGTAGTAAATAATTCAGGAAGCAGAGCTCTCTCTGCCAGTGCAGAGCTAGCCAACTAGAGTTAAATGGCATCATCTTGGAATCACTTGAAGTTGACAATGATCTTACAGTTCCCTCTTTCTGTCACAGAACAGTTAGCTTCATATTTTAGCCAAAAACAATGTCAAGTTGCTGCATGTGCCAGTCTGAATTCCATAGACAATTTTTGTTTTCCATGTTTATTTCTCACTCTCACTTTATTTTTGGTGTTGAATGCCACCTTCTCCATAGTTATAACTGTTATAGCCATAATGGAGAGAACCATCAGTTTAAGTTGTTTAAAGAATATTGAAGCACAAATACGACTGTATTTTATGGGACATTTTATTTAGATGCATTGTGTCAAGTATTTATATGACCAAAAGTTTAAACTCACTTAATTCTTATCAGTAGGTTCAATGCTGGTTAGTTACAGAGAGAAGAGAGCATCAGATTAGAGTTCAGAAGCCCTGGATCCCATGCTAAATTCTCCTGGCTATGACCTAGGGCAAGGAAACTCATGCCTGCCCTGTCATAAAATTTTGGGAAAATGTGATAAATTTATTTGAAAAATTGCTCAAAAAATGTGAAGAGCTAGTTAAATCTTCCATATTATTGGCATTGCTTATTTTTTTTCCTTAAAATGTATTGATTTTTGTCAGTGATGACATTTTACTTTCCTTCTGTCAGCTTTAAGTGATGTATGAGTACATTTAAGAATTTGAAATCTATTTTATAAATAGTTTTAAAGTGTCAGAAGCCTTGTCGAGCACCTTTAACTTGACATAGTAAATTGATTTAGGGTTTTTTATAAATAATTGGTGTGGCTTTTTTTCAGTCACTATAGTCCCACATGGGTGGGAAACCTAGGGCTTTTAGCTAGTCATCCTCCATAGATGATGAGATAGTTATAGAACACCAGTCTTAAAAGAAGGTATACACATTCTAGAGATTTGTCAGAATCCAGTCCTTCCTTTTATATCTGAAAACAACAGCAAATCAAGTTACAGGATAAGGAAGGGAAACTACTGGGGCTTTTTTTCACTTTTACTTGTGCCTCTTCTTTTCAGCACAGCTACACTGCTTCCAGTATCACCCACAGTGAGATTCCTTTGGGTCACAGGTGGCAAACCACAGGCTGCTCTCTGAAAGATGGTTCTCCTCTCACAGAGAATAGGTTGAGTGTGTCTTATTTCTACTGTTCATGGCAGCCACCAGAAGCCCTTAACATGGAATCTTTTATCTAAGTAATGTTTGTACACTCAAGATATCCCAGACCAGGCTCCCCGACCCCACTTACATCAACAGATTCATTTAGACTTTCCACTAAGTTGAAATATTTCAAATGATAGAACTACTTGGTTCTAATAGCTTGTTACTATTAAAAACATAAGAATTATTACATCTTTAAAGGACAACTATGAGTTAACCCAAGGGAATACTATTCAAAACTATTACATGTGATCTGATCGGAACAAGTTAAGAAAGTATCCCAAAGCCATGCAAATGTCAGGAGTGGAATGAGACCAGGACTTGCAGTGCTTAATTTGTTGTTCTCTCTATAATTCATTTAGCCATCAAGCAAGACTCTGCTAAATTGTCCTGTCATATATAATAGAAAATAAATCTATTTAGGTAAGACATAATGAGAGAAAGATTAATTGGGGGCATTTGCTTTTAAAATAGAAGAGCAGCAGACCTCACAGAATGCAAAATGGCCGATGGCTCTTCAGAGGGCCATCATGTCAATCTGGGGGTAAGGTTTCACACATGAGAGGTATCTCTCACAAGGCAAAGAACCATGGCTGGAATTGAACATACTTTGAAGGCTAAAGCTAGCACGTAATTTCTCTGCTGTTTCCAAATTTGGGTGTTCAACTCTGTTACTTCAGACCCATACTGAATATATGCAAGAAGAGAGGTAAATTTTAGAACATGCCAGAAAGATGTGAAATGGCAAGGTTGCTTTGGTTTCTTTGGTTTTATTATAAATTTAGGCAGAATATGTATGCATGGTCCCTTCTGAACACTTTTTGGAGGATTTCATCTGTGTAATCAGCGTACACATGGGCAGCAACCTTCTCTCTCCCTCTCCCTCTTTCTCTCTCTCTCTCTCTCTCTCTCTCTCTCTCTCTCTCTCTCTCTCTCTCACACACACACACACACACACACACACACACACACACGGTAATGGTACTCCACCACCACCATGACTACCACCATCACTTCTACTACCACATACTAAATTTTCCAAAATCCCTAACAGATTTCCCTGGGAGGCTTCAAATTCAGAAGGGTTTAGCTGGAAAGCTAGAATGTGAGGCTGTATTTTGCCAGGCCTGGGAAATCCCTAAAAAGGAGCAGCACAGTCCCACTTGTTACTGATGATCATAGACCCAGAACAGTCAAAAGTCAGTTAATAACATGTCACATGGCTATTGCTCTCCACTGGGCTATATTCATGTCTGCAGAAATAGCAATGTCATTTCATCCTCCATTGGCCAGACCCTAATCTCCGTCTGTGAGGCGAGAATGACCAGCCTGTACTTTTTTGTCACTGTAGTGCTGGAGAAAGAGAAATGAAAATATGCTGCTAATGACTTTGTGTATGTGCTTCTTCCTTGTCCCTGTTGTGCTCCGACAACATCAACATAGCTTTAGCCCGACGTGCCATTTAGACCGAAGTCTCGGATTGATCTGTGATGAATGCCCTGCCGGGTACACAGGACCCCGCTGTGAGAGGTAAGCACGCACTCCACTGTCTTTCAAAATGATTTCTACCTTGGGAGCTATAAAACCACAGGCATTATCATCCTGTGCACTACCCCAGGAAAGCCGCCACACTCAGTGAGACGAAATCAAGTTTCTCACCACACTTGTCAAACAAATGCGTTATATTTTTATAGTTTGTTTATTTTCTAGAAATTGCTCTATAAATCTCCACTCACTCAGAGAGTGTTTGATTAATGTTTTAATCTTAAAGGTTAAGCATTAACCTACAGTTTTTCTAGAAAGTATTACTCAAGTGGAAAGTCATGTACTTTAAGATTTATTTTACTGTCTACATTGGCACCATTTATTTTTCATAATTAGCTTTTTGTCCTTAAAATGTGGCTTAAGTGTGTAGTTCATAGTTCAGCAAGTGGTTCAAAATTTACCTTAAATATAATTTGAAAATAGAAATAAAATGTAATTTATTATCATGATTTATGTCCTCTGTGCACTTCTAACCCAGTATTTTAATTCCTGTTGATTTTACGAGGCCGCTTTGCAGTGAAACCATAGATATTACTTTATGTGATTATTTTTCCTCCTGAAGCCTTTTTGAAGATAAGGTTCTTCTGGATTTCAGTTTCAGTATGAAAATTATGCAGAATTCTCTATTAATATCATTGACAAACACAACACCACCTCTCTGGTTTTAGCACTGAAAATAGTTCCCTTTGCTGCCATCACTGGGGGTTGGGGAAACAGAGGAAGTGACCTGCTTTCACCCATCATCACCAAGGCCAACACCACAGAGGGCTATTTCTGCCTATCTTTTCCTGTCCTCTTGGCAGCCCTCACCCCTATTTCAACTGGAGTGCATAAAGTTAATGAAGCAGGAGCCAATCTCCCAGACAGAGTTTAGTCAGCAGCTAGCAGTCTGTGGACAAAGTGCCAATGACAGTTCCTAGCAGCAACAAGTACTATTTGTGAGTATGGCAGCATCTGTAAATTAGTAATGGAAGACAGAATTGAAGCAAGGATTTATTTGCAATCGAGAAATTGGAGGTCTTTAATTCTTTTTTTTAAAAAAAGAGGGTATGTGTGTATTACCTTCCAAAGAGCAGAACATGTCATTGCCAAGACAGATTTACATGAAATGCCTAATCCTACCCCACCCCAACCTCCAGCTGACTACAGACATTTTTTTTTTTTAGTTTAGCAACTGGAAAATGACAGCAAAGCCATTAAATCCACTTATGTAGGTGAACATAGTCTCTGATGTATTTGTATTGCTTTGCTTCATGTTCTGTACTTTTTATACATGGTAGACAATAGGTTCTGCACCATCTACAATTTAAAATCTTACATTTTATTGAACAAACATCTGTTTAGCAACTACCATGTGCTAGGCGCAGGGCTAAACATAGCATATAAACAGATATTATACAGTCCTTACCCTCAAGCAGCTCACGTCTTTAATGTGGGTGAGAATGGTTGAGTGTGTTCTGGGGAGAATTCTAATCTGGATGATAAAAATCACCAAGGAAAGAAATACCTGGCAGAAAGAATGATTTCCTTTCTAACATCTTTATTAACCTGATTAAAAGGAAGATGGAAACAGGCATATGCAGTTTATCAAATAGCATATCTTATCTCCAGTTCAAGTTTTTCAGTCAAAAATAATCTTGAACTATTATTACTATATATAGAATACGGATATCATAGTTTTATAGCCAGAATTTGGATGAGGGTCTTCTGAGAATATGAGTATTTAGTGTTTATCATTTCTCTGTATATAAGCCAAAAAGCCCATTAGTTGGGTCCAAAATATTAGGAGAATCATTTTGTGAGATGTGCAGGTTTCAGTGGAAGGGAGGAGGAATAAGGGTCAGGGTAAGGAGGTGCTACTAAAATCTTATAATCAAAACTGTACTGAAAGTGATTGGTGTAATCAGTTTATGCACGCCATCTACATAAAATCAGCACTGGAAAACTAAAGCAGTGTTTCCCAAACGGTAGATGTTCTTGGAATAGAGTTATGTGATCACGTAAGTTTGGGAAGCATATATAAACACGTTAAAAGTTCTGACATGTGCTGGAGTGAAGAAATATGTTTAATTGGTTTAACTCAGCATTTTCTGATCTTATGTGACCATACATCCCCTGCTTTTATTATATTGAAATAATGCATGTCAGACTATAGCTTGGAAACATAATCTCAGTCAAATATTCTTTAAATTTATACAATGTTATATGTGTATGTGAACTATATATCTCAATAAAAAATAGTAAGTTTTTTTCTCTCCTCCTCATTTCCCTAGCTTGAACCAAAGTTGTAAAAAGCTCATTTAATATCAAGAGACTTGAATGCTTGAGTGTGTGTGTGTGTGTGTGCGCGCGTGTTTGCGTGTGTGTGTGCATGTGCACATGCGCGTGTGTGTGTGTGTGTGTGTGGGTGGGTGTGGGTGTGGGTGTGTGGGTGTGTATTTGGGGCAATGGCCATATGGTAGGGCCAACCAGTACCGAGTTATTGATTCAAGTGTGTTTCTGCTGACCGCTTCCTTTTCCACGTTCTCCTAATTACCTTTCTCTTCAGGTCTAATAGTTCTATCCACCCTTCTCACCACTCATGGGGACACAGGACTCATTCGGCTGGTGTCATCCCACACTGGCACACACCAACATCTCTACTCTCATCACCTCTCCTCTATCTGCCTTTCTACCTCCATCCCATTTTCTCTTTGAAGATAATTTGCAGGAGGAGGTGCCACCTTCATTGAAATGGTGACTTTTATAGCCCAAAGTCCAGAAAATCCCTGTTTCTGTTTTCTTCCCTGTCGGCTCCCTTCACTCAGTCATGTAGCACAAGGTGGCCTTGCTGCTTGAATGGAGGGACTGAAGAAAAATCGTGAACAAATAGGATAGCAGCACAAGATGAGACAAAATATTGATTGCTATTCTGTTACATGTGGAACGCTAATTACGCCTGGGGAAAACTTTTCTTGGGACCAAAGCACCCGGACTTTGACATATCATTGCTTTCCTCTGCCTGGGGAATGTTTTAAACAAAAGAAAAAAAGAGAGATAGAATCAGAGGATGAGGTAATCACCATGGCACTTTGCTAAGATTCTAGGCTTTTATCACCTGGCCTTGCAATACAAGGAAAAGAAAAATGAGACAATATCTAGAAAGGCGAAAAGGGATGAGTGTTGGAGCATTAAGAGAAATTAGAAAGGACATGGAGAAAAAAGAAGAATTAAATGATGATGATACCTGCTGTACTGGACTTTAAGCTCCTTTCAGAATAAGTGTAGCCTCAGCAGTATCACATGTCATGGAGAAAGACATTAAAAGGTGGTGACAAATTCACCCAGTTTGATCCATAGACACACCTGAAACAAATGGCATACACAGACCCTTTAACCCTGTCACCTCCTTACCCAACCAACTTTTCATAACTCCTCCCTAAGTGAGGAGAGAAAGGGTCAAAGTCAAAGCTAATTTCACAGTTGCTACTGCGAATGCAGAAGGTATTTGAATCTAATTGCTTAATTTTTGAAAAATTCACCTACAATTTTACCTACATGATTCATATTTGATATCAGGGAAGTTCTGGGGTTTTTTTTAATTTTGATTCCCAAATCCCAGATAGATGTTTTCTGCTTCAGAAATGCCTGACTCTGAATCAAATCTAATCTCCATCTGATCACTGTGCTGGTGAGAATTTCTACTCATGTTTGAGTCTCCTTGAGCCCTTGAATCCTGGGTGCAGAGCACAGGGTTGCAGAAATAAGAAAAGAGAGACACTTATACTTACTTATAGTACCATTAACAAAATTGTGACTCCAAGTGAGGTTTCAAGAGGCTGCTCATGTTTCGCAGTTTGTACACTGCACAAAAGTACTCAACCAAGGGGTAGATCAGGGGCTCAAATCCAGAGGGTCCTCTTCTTGTCATTACACCTATTGTGCTGTGCCTGAGTGCCCAGCTGTGTCCTCTATCCTTCATTTGTCTGCAGATGCCCAGAGAGGACCCTTTTTTCCTAATTTGCAGAAAGGCACCGTATAAGCAGACCAACTCCCTCAGTCTTTAACTGATTCTGCCAAATTAGAGGTGTTAAAAATAGAGCTTTATTGCACAGCCACTCACATTTATACTCCAGCCACCCTCCTCTGTGCCTTTGCCAATACTGTTCCCTCTGCCTGGAAGGCTATAGCTCTCCACTCCTCTGCCTGGTCAACTCCTAAGATTCAGCTCTATCATCTGGAATGTGTCCTTAATTAATCCTAGTCTGCTTTCCCTTTTCTGTGCTTCCATAACAGCATTTGCTTATCTGTGGTATCATGCTGCTATATTTTTAAGTATATCGCCCTTCTCCATGGACTGTAGTTTAAAGACTGTGCCTTATTTATATTAGTATCATGTAAAAGTGCTCAGTAAATATTTGAGGGAGGGCAGGAGGAGAAAAAGGAGAGCTTCTCTAATTTGCTTAGGGAGATTGAAGACTTGTTTTCAGTCTATAGATAATGGAAACACAGGCCACAGATTTAGCCAGAAGTTGTTGAAAAACTGATAGAGTAGAATGAAATAAAAGTCTCACCAATGTTGCTTGCTTCTTATTGTTATTTCTCTCCACTTCTGCCATGCTTTCTCTTTATCCATCTCTCTCTCTATCTTCTCTAATATTGTTCCTACATCATCAATAAAAACAACCATATTACATAACTGCATGCATTATTTAGAGTTTCATCTGCATTTAAAGTTCTCTTTCTAAAATATTGTAATTTGATTAAGTTAGCAAATGTGGCAAAGAACACTGTTATGTCAAGACATTCCTCTCTAGCAAGGAACCCAATAAACTCTGTTAAAGATGTTCTCATTCTGCCTTGCATATGAAAATGAGAGGACTTAAGATTTTAAATTACAATTAGTTTTGGTAAAGTAAAAATCTGAGAAGCTGGAAAGGTCTAAAGGACTGAGATTGTCACAAATTTTAATTAGGCAAATCCAACCTGATCAGACTATAAAACACTATCATTATTAATAAAAGTTGTACGATTAAGCAGTATTGTAGTCACTGACCCTAGAATCACTTTTTAATTTCCATTGAAACATTTTAATAAGTATCTAAGAATACTATTCAATATACAGAAACACACACATACATTGGGAATAAAAACTGAATGTACACTTTCATTAAAGTGGCATATGAATTATCTGTCATGTATATTCAATAAATATTCTTAACATGTCCTATGACAAAAAATAAAAGATAGATGCTTCTTCAGTTACTCTGTTTAATTGTAGTTATTTTTTTGTGGGCTGAGATTTTTTTTTTATTATTGTGGTAGAATTTTGGACTTATTAATTGGTATCTATGTTAAGAACAGTCCCCAGACCTTGTTATATAATGTCATCTCTCCTGAGAGCAGTAAGTCATTTTGAGGAAAGTGAGCTGAAAATAATGGGTTTTCGTTGGCTGTGATAATAATCATTGTATATCTTTATTCTAGTGCAGCAAAGTCACTCTCTTAAGGGTAAACAAAATGAGATGTGAATATATGTGGTTGTGATGATAAGCTCTGAATACTAAGTAAGGCAAGAAGAATTGGGTGGAAATTCAAAAGGATCTTCCTATTATCTTTGTCAAATACCATTCCTGGAGGGATTGATGGGGAAATTTTATGCACTAAGATGTTAGTTCATTTTTTACAATAGAAAATTAATAAGCAATTATAGTTGTGTGTGGCAGTGTGTTTCCAAGCAATGTTTACACAATGAGTTTCACAATTTATAAAATACTTTGTGAATATAATTTAGAAAAATAATCTCATTTTTAAAAAATTATAATAAAAGGTTAATTTTGCAAGATTATTGTAGCACCTATCAATATCCTAGAAAACTGAGAACAATCAGTGTATATTACCAAATTAATGACTCTGTACCATTCTGTGATGTTATTAAATATTCTCATATGATGTACTGGATTTAAACCATTTTTCCTTCAAATGGTAGAGAACATTTCTCTCCACAGTGACTTACATACCCGTGTGTAGATAAGTATAAAAGTAGTGTCCTATAGAAACTATACTCCATTATTTTTGTCCCCCTTCCATTTTGACCCTTGCTGTAAAAGACTTTTTATTTTGCTAAAATGGCACAGATAACAGAGCTAACCAGACTGTAAGATTTCAGATGCGCTGTTTTGTTTCCCTTCTGGCAAATGTGGCTTCCTATACAGTATGAGCAAATGTAACTGAAAGGGACGATGTCAGAATCTAAATAGGGGCTTCCTATAAAAATGTGTCTGTGCACCTGTAACGTGAAGTAGCATTTTAACACCTAACATATGGAAAATGGGAAATTTGATACTATAATTTTAAAAATCTTCCCAGCCATGCCTCATAAACAAACTTTTGTTTTTTTTTCCAGTAATATGTAAAATCGTGTTTCTTCCTTTAAAAAAATACCTAAAGTTTGCTAATGTGAGTTGTGGGCACAGTTAAGCATCGCTGTTTGGCATGTTACTGTAATACACAGGCATACCTGCTTCTTGGTAAAGACTCTTAAATGAAACTCTGCCTCTGTGTGGACATGCAGATACATGCAAACCTGTTATTAATGCAGAAATTCCCATAGCCCCACGCAAATACTAATGATAATGTTTTGAGTTATAATTTTCTATTTAATAAATTAAATAGAGCCTGTTTCCTCATAGCAAGCTCTTGCGGCAACAACAAAAATATGTGAACCTTACGTATTTGTACAAAAAACAACCAATTGGAGCACATACGTAAGACATGTTGTACTACAAAGGCTTTCCAACATGGACCTGGATTCTTCTAAGTGCCAGCACCAGATTTCTTATTATGCTTTGGTCTCGTTTTCAGTTCCAATAATGAGTTTTTTCTTCTTTTTTTTTTCCTGGCTAAAATCTAATTACTAGTGGGGCTGACAGGATTTCATCTTGTATCTACACTGCATTTATAGGAAAACATTGTTTTAATCACCTTGCATTTGAGAAAAGGAGCCCTGTAAAGGAAAACATATCCTGGAAGAGGGGTAGTGTGAAAAATATATAAGCATTGCCCCGATGGGTTTCATCAATTCCTCCCAAATATCACTGATGAAATTTTTCGCCTTAGGTGCGCAGAAGGCTATTTTGGACAACCTTCTGTACATGGAGGATCATGTCAGCCATGCCAATGCAATGACAACCTTGACTTCTCCATCCCTGGCAGCTGTGACAGCTTGTCTGGCTCCTGTCTGATATGTAAGCCAGGTACAACAGGCCGGTACTGTGAGCTCTGTGCTGATGGATATTTTGGAGATGCAGTTCATGCAAAGAACTGTCAGCGTAAGTCCTGAACTATTGATGCACCTGACAGAATTGATGCATTACACCTCCAAGTAGCAGATGAGTTCTTGAGTGAGATCGGAGAATAGGAAATTATCTGTAACACATGTATGAGATGCACAGTCTATACACAGAGTCTGCACATTCTAAAATCTTTTTTTACTAATAGAGTAGATCTTTTGAAAATTGCTGCATTGTTGAAATGTGGTGGTTTTTTTCAAATGACACACATATTTCTGTTTACATGTGGAATGAAGATTAAAAAAACAACTTATATCCATAGCAGTAAGAAGAATTTGGAAATTAGGTAGGACCTAATTATTCTTTATTATTTATCTCAATTTTAATCATTTTCTTGAAATAAATTTATCGGCCCATATTACTTCATTAGTACCTGTCAGTAGGTGTTAATGAGTATCGCTTATATATGTGAACTTTACATTCTTACATTTCATCATAGATGTAAAATTCTGCCAATATTTTTACACACTGGCATTGGTAATATTTGAGGTATTAACCTTCACCTTAGCACTATTCATAGAATGCTATTTCCGTCATCCTTGCACAAAATTTGCTATTGTGAGGTTTCATTCCTATCAGTCAGTACATCCCTCCCCATCTTCTTCTCCTCCTTAGCTGTATTATACACTATGGCATAGAGTTTACAAAGGCTTTGTATTAGTGGTGATAGAAGATGCAAGGGAGGTGTTGGTGTGTAGAGTCAAACGGAATGTTAATCCATGTTAGCCCTGGAGTGCTTTACACTCTCATCATCAGCTTCCTCCGCTGTCATAATCTTTAGACAGAGCAAGTGGTGGTATCATCCCAATAATTTACTTCTGACAACTGCGTTATGGAAGAAGGAACTCTTCCAGTCATTCAGGTGGGTCTTGGGAACTGCAACATGGCAGAGCCCTCTGGAAATGTAGTATCTGTTACTGTGTCTGCTGTAAACACCAGAGACCTGGTAGGACACCAATTTCAGTAAGAAAAGCATCTTTCTCCTCAGAGATTTTAATGATGAGTGCCAGTTTTTGTCATTTAAAGGTGGCAATTTTTTAAATCAAAAACAAATCGCTCTCTGGAAGAACCGAAATCTATTAATATCATCTGTAAATTGATGATTTTTTTTTAAGCAAAATTTTCATCAGGCTCAGGAGGACTTTTAAATACTGTGGGTTTATGGCATTTGTGTAAAATCATAGGGAGCTTAAGAAATTCTGTTCAAGCATGTCATCCGGATCTTCACTTTCTGGCTATGTGACCGTGGGTATGACATTTGATCTCACTGAGACTGAGTTTCCTCATTTACATTAAGGGTCATAATTTTCTTTGGGGATTGAAGGATCTAGCATATAGGGAGTATCCAGAGAGTTGCCTGGGGGCCTGGGATGCTCATAGTGGTTCTTTAAGGAGTAGTGCTTGTTATGAGTATTGTGGCTCGCTGATTTTAGGGCTGTGTTCATCATTTAATGACCTCTTTTTCTATTTTCCAACAATCTCCTCCATAAATTTGAGGAGATTCTTCCACTCATTTTATTGTGGTAAATTGGGGCAGGAAGCCTTAACAACACATAGAAGAATATGATATGAAAACACTTTTGAATCATCACCAATTTTTATACCACTTGCCATGAGGAATAGACATGATTATGCTTTGAATGCTCCTCAGCATGTAATTAAGATTAAAAATAGGAGAACTCATTTATTTTTGTATTTTGATAATTTTTCATAGATATAATAACTCTTCAAGGGAAGAAAATTCATGACAAGCCATTTTTTTAGCTGCCTCTAGATTTTTTCATGAAATGTACACACTACAAAGAAATGCGGTTTGCTTTTTAAATTTATGTACAGTGTTTATTTACATGTCATACATTTCATTTAAAAATGCCACTTAAAATTTTTACATTGCTTTTGTTATTTTTAAGATAATCATTAATTAGGAATGACATTAAAATGTCATATATTTCATTTAAGAATGCAACTTAAAAATTCTATTTTGCTTTTCTTATTTTTAAGATTTAATTCCATTTAATTTGTATTCTCCCCTCTAAGAAGGAATGGATTCTAAATTCTAAATTATTTGAGGTTTTTAAAATGTATGTATAATATACATAAGGAACTTACATAAAGGAATTAAAAGTGTGTAGAATAATTCTAGTGTCCAAATGAAATGGATAGTTTAAGAAAATATTTTCTTCAGCCTTTACTCAGACCTCAACTATAGACTATCCTTGGGCTATCGCCTGAGGAAAATGACTGGCTCCCCAACTAGTATCAAGTTAACAGACACGGAAGGCCAAACTACTAGAAACTACAGTTTTTAGGAAAGCAATAAAATGGAACAGAACCTGGAGCCAGATTAACAGAATAATAGCATAAATTGATGGATTAGCTATTTATAATATATTTATAAATTGTGCTCAGAACAGTGTATTCAGAAACATGAGATATTGTACAAAATTTACCAAAACCACCTATGAATACTCTAAATTCCCATGTCATCTCCCTTTCACATTTTTATTCTGGTATCAGTGCAATTATATATACCATTAAAAATACACTTGTATAGAGTGAGCCTTTAGTTACCATTCTATTTGTGAAAAGGCCATTTAATTTTTAGACTGATTTATTATGTGTTTCAGAATAACATCAGGCAACTTCAGATACAAATGTTCAAATCAGATATGACAAAGATTAATTAAACCGAATACATTTTCTGTCTTTGGATATAGTATATAAGTTATAAAATAAAAGTGATTTTTTAAAATTATAATGCTATATTCTTGAAACAGTGTCCTTATATACTTTTAAATCTTAAAGTTTTATATGCATATATACATATATGTGTACACATATATATGTGTATTTATATATATATATATTTTTTTACCTCATGCTCATTTTTAAGCTTAAAACAGGCACACAGTAAATAATAATTAAATTTTCAAAAATAATGTTGCTTGATTACTAGTGGCATTAATATTATGGCATGGGTGCTATTAATTTTTACAATTTATCATAATTATTTTAGCTCTTGAGTCAATATGGATTACTTAAAATGGAATTATAATATTTTCAATGGTACCCCAATGTATCTGTGAAGAAGTGAAACCGCTGGAGGAGTGATGGAAAGAACAGTTTATTATACTTGGAGTCAGGGAACTGAGGCTCTGGACTCAGCTATATCACCTACTAATCATATGGCCTTGTCTGAGTTATGGCTTCTTTGAATTTTACTCTCTTCATTCTCAATATTGGATTAATAATGATGACATTACTATTTTAATAGCCCATTATGTGCCAGGTACTGTGCTAAAGCTTTAAATGAGTTAATCTTACAGTGTGCAGACTTGTTGTAAGGATCAAACGACATAATGCCTAACAGACCATCTAGCAAATCAGAAAACATTCTAGAAGTCCATTGCCAGTTTTATCATTTTGGGGATATTATTATTTACCAAGCATATTAAGGCCATGAGAAACATTTTCCTAGACACAGACCTCTCTTCTCTTTGCAGCTTGTCGCTGTAATGCCAATGGCTCCCTCTCTGAGATTTGCCACACGAGGACAGGACAGTGTGAATGCAGACCCAACGTGCAAGGCCGGCGGTGTGATGAATGCAAGGTAAGGGGCAGGAGCTGACTGGTGAATTACTCTCTCCTTGAAATTTTTCATGAACTTTCAGTGAAATACGCCTTAGTGTATTGAAAGAAGGGTTCAGGATTATCTAACTCTACATGTCAAATTACTGTGATCATTGAAATGGTTTCTCAAAATGAAACAAAATTCGCTGTACACTAGCATTTGACCTTCAGCCTATATTTCCTTGGCAGTTAGTTTATGTAACATTTACTGTATTTCAGAGGTTTCTGAAACAAATAAGATACAAATTAAATTCCAGCCTATGGAGAGTCAAATACTCTTCCCTTAGCCCTTATGTTTTTGGCAGAATAAAATGTGTCACACCCTTTGCTTTTATCGAACTCTTTGTTCTAGTTCCATCATTGGAAAGTTAGTTCCAAGTGAGCACTCTACTTAAAAGTTTTCAGTAGAGAAGCAAATCAAGGTGGTTTTTAGAGACATCATTTTGCTAAAGTGAAACAATAATCAAAATCTGTTGCTCTCTGTTCTTGAACAAATTGCCCTGCCTTCAGTGTGGCATGCCCTTGAGATTCCTCCTTGAGAGCAGATGGATTTGCATTACTTCTTTCACATAAATATGTATTTTCAGCGCTCAAGACTGTTAAGTAGAAGCAAGCTTTTCTCAGATGTCATCAAACTGGCCTTTCTGTAGGAAATTTGAAAGTATCTGCTTCTATCTCTTGAATAATATTGTATGCTCTTTTTTGTTTGTTTTATGTTACTTTTCTGTTGGCTTTGAAAGTCCACGCTGTGGTGGAACCCAGAGAAACGATTCTGTATGTTATGTGACTGTCATCCCGCTGGCTCTGTGTCACAGCAGTGTGACATTACAGGAAGATGTGTCTGTAAATCAGGCTTCGTAGGGAAACAGTGCAACCTCGGCAGGCAGGAGCACCAACAGGAGGAGCAGCTGCGGAGAGTACAACCAGCGCTGGGGTCTCCCCCAAGGTGGGGTTTCAGCAGCTCCAGTGGGTGCCCTCGGGGAGCCTATCGGCCCGCGGCTTCGGTAATCCCAGAGGTGCTGCATGATTTTGTGCCTCGGCATGTTGTGTTCCGTGTGCTGCCGCTGACTATCCCCGATGCCATTTTACCGAATAATGGTTGCTCAGTGTGCAAATTGCAAATGCAAAAACTAGACAATTCCTAGTGGAAGCCTTGCCTTTTAAAAATAGCTATCCCGTATATTTTCAAAAGTATCTTCAAGTTCATCGGTTAATAAAAGTTTCAATGAATCGTAGATATGTATAATCTTAAAAATAGAAAAACCCTCAGGCATCATTTGGAGCAAAATCACTTCTGTGAAGGAACAAATGAAGGGAAATCTAGCAAAGAAAGTGACTTGCCTGAGAAAATTCAGCCCACTGACCTGACGTTAAATCATAATTAATGATTTTGTTACATTTCCACATCATAATTTTACTCTAAGATACAAGAAACACACTTTCACACACCGTAAATGTATAGCATACACAAAGTAAGGAAGCATGTTTTCTACCACTAAAATGTGGTCCCCCTTCTCACAAAAGAAAAGATGGGAGGAAGGGAGAGGAAGGAAGGGAGAAGGGAAGAGCAGGTTCACAGCCAATTTGCGGAGGAACAGGAGACACAACTGCCTGCAGAATCGGAGCCTGTGGGCAAGCTGAGGGTAGGGGGTAGAAGTGAGAATGAAGTAAAAAGAAGAAACGAAAAAGAAAAGCATGCTTTTCTTTCTTGGCTTTATTGACATTTTAAGAAAACGAGTTCTCGTTTCAGACTGCTTCGGGTCACATCCCAGCCTCACCACGTCTAGCTGTAAAACAATTCCTTAAGTCTTTCTTGTAATTCTCCTTCTTCATCTCTGGTAGGACCCCTTCATAGGCTGTGTCTCTGCTTGAATTTTCCTAGAGGCAAATGGTGAGGAATTTACCAGGGGAAAGGCCTATGAAGGATGAAGGGGAGAGAGCATAGGATGCAGGCAGGCTCCTGCTGCAATGCAGCTCTGACTACTGGAAGAACAGAGGGAAGGAAAGATTGGGTAGAAAGGCCTCATTCCGTGCATCCTGCCAAAATCCCAAATTCTTGGCCAGGCCAATGGGAAATGCCCAAGCAAAATTGGCCCATTAGGGGAATCCTGATTTGGGCAGAAAGGTTCTAGTAATTTATTGTAATCAGTCATTGACTAGAAGTACGACCTGGTGTGAGTTCCTCTGGTGGATCCAAAAGAAATGGAAGCTGGAGGCTATCAATCCGTGATACTCCCCACTGCAAATTCTCCTGCAGGAAGGTCTGTTGATGCAACTCCATGCCTGTTTCAGGGATTCATGAGAACAGTACATAAGGCACGGATATGGGGAGTTCTTCATGTTAGGTGATATTAATACTATTGCTATTAAATGAATATATGTTTAAAAGATATTTTGTTTTTAAAAAAGAAGTGCATACACAAAGTAAAAGGGATGGTAACTGATCAAAATGTCTCAAAAATATAAATTTAGCAGAAATTCAACCCTCATTCATGCTCTGTTCCTGTATATCCTACAGCACTATTGTGTGCTGTGTTGTTTTGTCCTGAGACTGTATTTCCTCTGAGGCAGAATGTAGACGTTGAGAGCACTGGCTGATTTGCAATTGGGACTCCACAATTAGCTACCTGATGACCTTAGGCAAATTACTTGGCTTCCTTGCTTTGGTTTCATCACTACGTAAAAAGGTGATAATATTGATTTCTCAGGATTGTCTTGAGTATTAAATGAATTGATATTTGTAAAGAGCTTCAGAACAGTGCTTGGCACACAGTAAGCACAATATGTAAGTTCTAGTTGTAATTATTATTCCACATGCAAATAATTTATCAGAGCTTAACAAACTTCCCACTGAAATGGAACAGGCACCCTCTCCCATTTTTTGTTTTACCTCATTAATTTTGGTGACTGATTAGAGATTTTACTCCATAAGTTTGTTTACTTCAGGTGTTTCCCCTAGTCTCTGAAATAAATTTTTAAACACCAAATTTGTTAAAATGTCATTATTGAAATTTAGCAATATTTGTTTTGGTATAACTTAGCCTTTAAAACTTAAAGTGTAGTAGAAACATTTCTTCTCATATATTTCTTTACATAATCAACTTTGAATTTTTTTAATGATAACTATGATTTGGAAGTTAATATTTTATTTATGTACCAATTAAAGATATATATATGTATATGTATATATGTATATATTTGTATATACATATACACACGCATATGTATACATGTGTGCATGTGTGTGTATGTGTATGCTAATAAGGAAAATTTAGGAAATAAGGCTGGATATAAAGTACTATCTCTACAATTCAGATTTATAAGTCAGAATATTTAGGAAATGAAAACAAATGTGAAGTATTATTTCTATGATTCAGATATTTAAAAAAACGATTTTACTTTATTAAGTTCTAGTCTTTTTTTCTATGTATATTTTTTCTATTTGTGTGTGTCTGAGTGATATGTATAGCATTATAAGTATGTAATTAGAATCATAGTGTATATATAATTTTGTTTTCTGCTTTTCAAAATTTTATTTAATATTATATCCTAAGCATATTCATATATCATTAGAACTGCTTCAAAACAGGATCTTAATGATTGCATATCATTTCGTAGCATGAATATATCATAATTTCATTTATTCAAACTTGCTCTAACACTGCACATTCAAGTGCTTCTATAGTTACTTACTATGATAAATAATATTGTAATGGGCATGCTTGTACTTTAACTATTTCCCCAGTTTCTGATTATTTCTCTAGGCCAGGTATCTAGAAGCTTACACTGAGTTGTTTTTTTTATGAATTAAAATATGATATGTTTGGATTTTTCCTTATATAATTGAGTTTAATTTCAATATCATGTATTAGGTCATTTTTTAGAACTGATGCACACTTTTTTCTTTAATCATATAGTGAAATCTGAATTAGAATCAGAAGTAAAAATAAATTCAGCAGTAAAGAATAAAATGATTATCAAACTCATTCAATCCATTTTATGTTTTAAAAACAAAATTATTCTTAGCTATAGTCATTTTAAAAGACTCATGTTTAGTGTGATTTTGTTTTCTAGAACTTTTTTTTAATACTGTTCATGATATTGGCAAAAATATAATACAGCTTATTCATTTCTCTTTGGATGGCTTACATTAAGTTGCAAGATTTATTTTCACCAAGAAGTAACTATTAAGTCTAATTTTCCAAAATAGAAATTAGTTTTAGAATGAAATAATTTACTTAGACTAATTTTCTAGATTAAGATATTATAATAATATGACATACTTTATATTTAAAAAGACAGCCCTGACATACTTTAAGTAAGATATGTGCTTTTCATTTTTCTAGTAGGAATCATTTTTAATTCATCAGCATTTTCTAACATTCACTTTCAGTCTGATACCATGTATTTCAAGAAAGTCAGCCAAAGCTAGTAATTAAAACTGGACCATAGAAAGTTGCTTGTTATAAATAGATAAGAGAGATGCATATGGATAATTCATCAGAGAATAAAAGTTTTCCTTCCTTTACTTAATATTTGATATGTGTTTTCATAAATCAATTTTGATTGTTAGGATGAAACCCAAGAAACTAGATGTTTGTCAAACCAATTATTTTGTCAGTGTAGACATAACCAGTAAATTAGATTTTTAACATGAGCCCTAGTGATGATTAGAAGTATTTGTGGATATATGAAAAAAGTTAGAACAAATATTAGAGGAAAAAAATTATTTTAACTTCAGTCTGCTGGTCAATAATATTGAAAGCATTTTTACCAAGTAGGAGTTCATAAGATCTGAAAGTAATTAATTCAGATTCTTAGGAATTAAGCAAATAAAATTTCAATTAAAATAAAAATACCGACCCTAGCTTATTTCCACAGTGCTGTTAAAACTTTGGGAAGTATAGGGAAAGACTAGTGAAAATATGTCAAACTGAATGATAATGCCCTAAATCTGCCGTTTATCTTGACGTAATTTCACAGTAATTGAACTTTTCTCTTTGGATATTATTTAAAAGTTCCATTAGATTAAATGACACTTCAGTTGTCATACAAGTAACATCAGTGAAGAAGCCTTGCTAACCCTGAGGCTCCTCTTTTCCCACCTGATCTTTTAATACTGCCCATCTTATTCTATAGTAAATTAATTGATTTAAATGTAATGTTTCTTTCCTATGCCAGCCTGAAACCTTTGGTCTACAGTCGGCAAGAGGGTGTGTTCCCTGCAACTGCAATTCCTTTGGGTCTAAATCCTTTGACTGTGAAGAGAGCGGTCAATGTTGGTGTCAGCCTGGAGTAACAGGAAAGAAATGTGACCGCTGTGCCCATGGCTATTTCAACTTCCAAGAAGGAGGATGCACAGGTCTGTCATTAAGACTAAGCACGACACATTCATTCTCTGGGTTTGCTGTCTTGGCATCCGTAACAATTTGTTCATCGGAGTCCTGAGGGATTAAAGGAAAAGCACCTGGCAACAAATATATGATGCAAAATATTTAACCTAATAAGAAATGTATATTTATTTTAACTAATTTAACAAAAGAAATACATTGTGGTTTGAAACACTGCCCTATAAATAACTGTGCTTGCAAATATTCAGTACAAATCCATCAGCAGGTCCTAGTTTGGCTGTTTCTCTCCCTGTCTCTGACCTCCATTCAGCTATTCACTCAAAATCTACTACAGCTTGAAAGTCAAATGTTCAATTTTTCTGATGCCAATGTGGTCTTAATTGAAACCCCACTCTCAAGCTAATACATTTCAACTTTCCTTTTTCCTATAGCAAAATTGGTACAAGGATCAGGAAACTTAATACATTTTTCTGGTACAAAAAATATCTTTTCATCTACTTTTTTAGGTGCCTTGAAACAGATTGGCTCTAGATATTTATTAGTTCATGGGAAAATGCAGGCAGGGATTTCTAACCATGATTTCTTCAAGCAGTGTTCTCATATGTCCAGCCACAGCCTTTCTGAAATCATGACATAGAAAATAGGAATTAGCACAAAGCAGTTGAAAGTAAAGATTTATCATTAGCATTGATTTATGTGCCACTAATTTGGAATTGACCCTTATTTCAAGGATAACTAGATTGATTATTAACCTTTGTTTACTAAACTCACTGATTCAACATTAATGATACTCTTGTGCTCTCTGCACCATGATAAATACATGGTAAGATTTAAGATTCCATTATTGACTATTGTAGTGAATTTATGTGAGAAGTGTCAGGAATAATATTTGAAATTATTTTAAAAACCAGTGCCTTTTAGATATTCTCAACCACCTTTGACACACAGTTGTGAGCATAAATTAAGTCATTATAAATTATTCCAAATGTTATCATTGTAAATCCTCTAAGAATCTGCATGTGATTTTGAAGCCAATATCTGTATATACTAAAAAATTCTAAAGCTGCATTTTAAAATATATTCTGTCTCTAAATCTAAACCTGACTTTCATTTTCATTTAATAGAAATTAATGAAATGGTACTATACAGTCAAATATATCTACTACCAGAAATTATAAATAAGACCAATGACATTATTTAAAATTTTGAAATGATGATAACATTTTAGAAATGCAGACTTAGTAGCATTTAACCCAGAAAATCCGAACAGAGGACAATCACAAAATAGGCAGAATAACATTATATTTGAGAGCATGACTTGCTCCAAAGAGTTTGGATTTGTTTAGTGGTTCCACCAGTCACTAATTATGTGACCTTGAGTGAATGACCTGGTTTCTCTGTCCCTCTGCAAAACTCATCTATTAAATAAATAATAGTATCTACCTTGCTGTTTTTTTGTAAGAATTGTTTGCCAGTTGAATGCCTGGCAAATAATTAGAGTAATGCCTGGCGTATAAGTGCTATGCAGTGTTTATTATTGTTATTATAATTGTTATTTCTTTATTAGTATTATCAATGTGGTAAACATTCTGTTTTGGCAGGGGAAAACTAGCTAATTTAATTACTCAGGTTTTCCTATTCAGTGTTATGATTCCATTGAAGAACTACTTAGAGAATTTCTGTTTGCAAGTAATGATTTGAACTGTCCCAAAACACTTTTTTAGCACATACATTTAAACATAATATGAACTATTCTTCTTCTTAATAAATGGTACATATAAAATAAATCCTTTGGCTTAAAATTAGCAGCAGCAATAATAATAAAAAAAGGCTAACATTTGTTTGGTGTTTACCCTATATCATATGTGTGCCAAACATTTTTCACAGTTGATATGAAATACTGTGAGTAATGATAATTATGATCGCTTAGAATGTGAACTTAATCAAATATCCCAAACAGATTTTGTTTAAAATATTTAATCATCGTATAACCAATTAAAAGGTTTCTTATAACATTAGTCTTCTTTTTGAATTCAAGTAGTTTTTTTTCCTCCTGCTGTCTCTTTTTTAATATGAAATGCTACACTAAAATAACTCAATACTGAGTCAGCTATAGCTAATAAGTAGCATAGATTCCTTGTCTTGGATGACTTTGAAGACCTCAAATATTATTTTTGCATTCTTGAGAAAACTGCATGGGGTAGGGATGAATTTGCACCCTTTATGCATCACGTCATAGAATAGAAAATGCAAAATCTGTTGAAAATAAATAAGGGAGGTGGTAAATAAAACTCAAATGTATCTTTGTGTGTGTGTGTGTGTACATAGGTATATAATTATATAATTCAGCTATTTTAAAATATTTTCAAAGCTGAAATATCCTGATGTACAAGTATGTCAAGATAAACTTAATTTAGGAAGCCTATTAAGCTTATTGGTTGTTATTCCAAGTTAGAGTCATCAACAGGGAGAAACTGTTAATCTATGTAGCATAGAAATATTAGTTATAAACTTAAAATAAATATAGAATCAAAATTTTAACCTTTATAATATCTAGTTATAAGGTAGCACAGTTATCATGGAATCCAATACACCCGTTCTTCCTTTCCTTAAGTTTAGTTGAAAAGTTAAAAATGCTTTACCTTTTAAAATTATTAAATGAATTACAACATACATGTATTGAACAACCCCTCTGTGAAATACACTGTACTATGATATAAAAGATTAATAAGTTAAGTCTTTCACTTTCAAGGATCCTTAACTATAGTAGTATGGAAAATAAAACAATACAAATCACAATATAAAACTCAAAATTGTGTATCAAATTTTTACTTTTTTTTTTTTTTGCCCTTTCATCTATGAAGCTTGTGACTGTTCCCATCTGGGTAATAATTGTGACCCAAAGACCGGCCGATGCATTTGCCCTCCCAACACCGTTGGAGAGAAATGTTCTAAATGTGTCCCTAATACCTGGGGCCACAGCATTATCTCTGGTTGTAAGGTGAGTGAATCACTTTATTTCATCTGATAATGTTTTTTAAAGATTTTTATTTTGGTAGGGTTCTACAACTGGGCATTCCATATCCAATACTGTATTGCAAAACAATATAGAACTATCACTATGGAGTCACTGAAGATATTGATCAGTATCTTACATTTTACTTGTGGGAAAGATGATGAAGTAAGTACACATTTATGCAGCTTCACCCAAGGCACCAACCTAAAGAGGAGAATAAAGGACAACAACAACAAAAATCTGTAATAAAATAGACATAGCTAGAGCTTCATATTTAGACACAATGAAATTTATCTGCAAAGTACCAAGATATTAGGGACTAACTAAAGGAATTTGCCAAAAATTTATAGGAATTACCCTCAATTCCTATTATGACTAAGTTTCAGTTTCCAGGGAATAGTTGAGAGGATTCTGAAGAGTCATATTAACAACCTTTAGCTTAGAGAAATCTTCAATTTTTTCCATGTATGGACCATAGAGAGTTTCACGACTAGCCTCACATTGAGAGAAATCTATCCAGCATCTGTGTGGAAGTAACTATTAAGCTGGAAGATTCATAGAGCTACATTTTTGGAAACAAAACAAAAATTTATCCAGAGATCTGAAATTTTAGATGAGTATAAACAAAGCATTAAGTTTCTGTGACTGACGTTTTGCATTTTCAACTTCGAATCCAAGCATCTGCCCCATCGCTGGACTCATGAATAAGCCATAAGTAATCAGCAGGCTTCCGTTCTATCCACAAAGGCCTACGATGTGGCCAAATTCTAATGACACTCCTGAAACTGAAGCTGATGCTTAATGTTCAGACCATAAATCAGGATGAAATATAGACCAAGTTTCTTTTTTAAAAAGTGGTTATATGTTTGAAACATCATGTTTGCTGATCACTGAATAAACATTATGTTGCTTACAGTTGATTGAAATTTTTTGATTACTTTCAACCACTGTTAGAAATCTGAATTTCTGAACAGACACTTCATCATTATGAACAATTACAAAAAAATTCACAGAGCCCTCAAAGTATTTATGAGCATGTATTCTATTTTAAAACACTTGGAAGACTGTAATCTAAATCAACAGTGATTTGAAATTTATCTTTCCTTTCTTTGCATCATGGATAATTTCTCTGTGCTGAGGTATGAGCACACACACACCATTTGAGCTTTTATTGAAGTATTGTAGAATAAAAAGCCTGCCATCTTTCACTAGCAGGGGAATAATGCATACATTATCTGTTGCTAAATAAACATTGTATCTAATTATGATTTAAGTTTGATGTTGGCTATAGTGCTATTTAAACATATGGCTAATGGTCTCTTTTATCCTTTACTATAACTTCCTGTATAAACTTCCTGATTTGGAACGGTCCCAATGTCTATTTGTACTGTCAATTAGTATTTAAGAATTAATTTTAGTTTTATACAATAAATTGGGTAGCAGGAAACTCATATTTTAGTTAAAAGATGAGTGTCTCACAAGACATCTTTTAAATTTATTACATGATTGTAGTTTCCATACGTAATTTTCTATTTCTTATTATGGCTGATTTTGTTTGAATGAAGGAAAAAGCGTTTAAGAGAATAAGCCAATCATCATTATATTGAAATCTCGTTCTACTCCTGATGTTCTATAAGAATAAGTTACTTGGGGTGATGACAGTGGGTTATTATTCTATGCCTTGGAAAATATGTCCATGTTTGTAATATAATAAATAATCACATTTTGGGTTTAAAGTAACTCTTAGTAGCAGCTGCTATACAGCCCTTTTTACTGTATAGCAATGGAGACATAAAAAAATACTTAATCATAAAGATCCAAAAATAAGGCCAAGTGATTATTTTATCAGAAACTGGGAAGATATTTCACCAACATTAGGACAGGAATAAAATGATATATGGGAGACTGCTGATTGTATATCACATCCTAGAAAAAATAGTCCCATAAGTAAACTACTGTTGGCAGGCACAGAAGCAGGAATATCTCCAGTAGTGGTGGATATGAGAATTAAGATGAGCAATGGATGTGTAAGAAATACAAAGTGAAAGCCAGCCAGACTTAGATCTGGGAATTTGGCAAGTTGTTATGCATATGAGTCTGCCATAGAGCTGGAGATCTGAGAAAAATAATAGTACAGCACCAAAACGAGTCAGGTTACAGACAAAGCACAAACACTGTGTGTTGACAAACTCAGACACAGAGTGAGAAGATACCGACTTGGATACCAAGTCAGGACCTACTTGGGAGACAGAAACCATACCAGTTATTTAAACAGGGAACGAAGACTATAAAGACTTGTTAACTGGTAGAAGACAGTTACGAAAAAAGGATAAAAGAGAACAATAAGGGATCCTGAAGTAGCAGGTACAAAAGAGCAGCTACTACTCCTAAGCTGATGGGGAGTGAACTGTAAACAAACCAAGGGCTAGAAGAGGGTGCTTCCCTATCCCCCTCCCCAGTGAGCCTGAGGTTCAGGCATCTTAGAAAAGAGTGTGGCTGCCACAGGAACATGCAACCTGCCTGTGGTAAAACAGAAAATAATAGCACACACAAAGAAAATCTTGGCGGAGTTTGTGGGTAATTGCTAGTCTGTGGACACCGCCTACCATTGTGGAAAGCTGTGGACATGCTGGGGTTATTTAGAAGCAGCTCGTCATGGTCAGAGCATGTACACCGACTGAAGCTGCTCAGAAAGCTGCCTGAAGGAGAGAGTTGCCTGAGAGCACAGCTGGAATTCTTTTTGGACCACAGGGCTCCCATGCTAAATAATAAAATAATAACGACGATAGAAATGAAGAACCAGAACCCAGGACACCAGTGTCCTCCCACTGCTGTGACCTCATCGGCTCTCTCCAGAGTCCTCTGTTAACTAAGTTTAACATTGTGACCTGATCACAGGGAAATGTCTACAGTGGGTAACTGCAGTATCACAAAGCAGGGCAAGGGAGAGTGAATGTAAAGCTCAGAGACGGTAGATTGATCATCGGCACAGCTGGTCTCTGAAGATGATTTATTCTAAGATCCTAAATGACATTTTAGAAACCCACTTGGCATTTTTATTACATCGCAAGGAGACATGAGCTCTGTAAGTCAAGAGCAGAATGATTTAAAATAATATAAGACAAAAAAGACACATAGATGAGAGGAAATAAAGACATTATTGAAAAGAAGCTAAAAATGCAATAGCATAATTAAAATAAACATTGGTGACATACACATACAATAGAATTTTCACTGTGGAAAAAGGGAGCTATAAAATAGAAGACAAATTTGAAAGGTGAATATGAAAATGACTACAGAAGACATAAAGATAGTATAGGTTTGGCAGACTGACAAAAGTGATGTGCTTTAGGAATGATAGGTGTTCCTGGAGAAGAAAACTGGTCAATTAGAACAGAAATAAAAATAAAAAACCAATCTGAATAATACTGAATCAAAATATAATTTTGTTCTCAAGCTGAAAGAATTCACCATGTTCCACTCAATTAATGAGAGAAAAAAAAACCTCAAACTTTTAAAAATTCTAGCAAAATTTTGAATTACTTAAGAGAAAATCTTACGTTTATCTAGGAAGGAAGAAAAAAAAAAGGTTACTAGCAAAGCACCTCGAATCAGACTTGTCTGCAAAACTAGATGTCAAAATAACAAAACAAAAAACAAAACCCTAGATAACACTTCTCTAAATTCTCTCTGGCTTCTCAACACCTGATTTGGTGGTTCTTATATGTTCTCATAGTATTTTGCCCTTCCTTTGTTATATAATGCTCATTCCATTATGTTATATTTATATATTTATTTGTCTCCTTAAATGCCAGAAAATGAGATATGGTAAAATGATTTTGTCTAAGATTTAATCTTTGAAACAAAAAGCACTTGAGGAAAACCCATATCTAACACCTCCTTGCCACAAACAGACAGAGAATGTACGTTTTCTGTCTTTTTCGATAGCATTATGGTTTCTGGACACGCATATATTTTAGTAAATGCAGGAAGCAATTTAATTTTATGTTCGCTGATATTTCCCAAGCGACTAAACTAGAACAATACAAAGAATATAATACATACATGATTAGTATGTGTTTAATGGGAGAATAGGCACATTAGAATTAAAATCTTAAGATATTTCCCAGGAAATGGTATGAGTGGTTGCTGTTTTAATCTCTTTCATAGGCTTGTAACTGCAGCACGGTGGGGTCCTTGGATTTCCAATGCAACGTAAACACAGGCCAATGCAACTGTCATCCAAAATTTTCTGGTGCAAAATGTACAGAGTGCATTCGAGGTCACTGGAACTACCCTCACTGCAACCCCTGTGACTGCTTCCTGCCCGGGACTGATGACACGACCTGTGATCCACAGACTAAAAAATGCTCCTGTACCAATCAGAGTGGGCAATGCACTTGTAAGGTATGTGCTGCCAAAATACAATAAGGAAAAGCTTCACTCACTTCTGTTTTCATAACTCAGTATTAACTTCATTCAGTGTTCATTATTCCCACCTTATTAAGCTGAACAAACAGGAAAACCAAAACTCATTGCCAGACGCAGAGTTTTTTTATTAATATATATTCATGGGCACACTGATAAGCACTGCTTTTTATGAACTATTTTTAACCAAAGCCAAACTTTTGTTTTCTAGTTTGGAGAGATGATATATTTTCAATGGTAAAGTTTTCTTTACATATCTGCTTTGCTCAAACAAGACTACTCTGGGAGGGTGAAAAAGGCAGTTCTCTTAAGCATCATCAAATTCAGAGAAAATCACAGCTAAATAATAAGTCTTATAAAAAACCATTCCTCCTCAAATTAATCTGCGATCACTGTACACTGAAACAGATTTACTGCTGTGGAAGTTCAGTAAAATTTCATCACAGATAAACACTGACATTATGAACAGTGACTATGTGGAAATTTCAGCTCTCGTTAATACTGTTAAATGATGTAGAAAAAAAGCCAATTAAAAAAGATAGAAGGGATTTTTTTTCCCCTTAGATATTTCTGAAAATCAGTCCCAGGATAAATGCAGTTGAGACTGGGTCAGAGGTATCTTTTCAAGAAAAAGTTCTCTGCAGATAGGGACAGGGGAACAGGAGGATGAAATTCAGGAAGTGATTGTTAAAATAATCTTGAGAACTTAAGAAAATGGCAGCTTCTGCCATTAAGGGCCCTGAACAAAACACAAAGTACAATTCTGCATTATTACATATTATAATTATGATCACACATTATGTTTAATGCATGTTATATGAGTGTACATACGTTAATATAACAATGATTCTATAAATCTACATTTTGACAAGCTGACTTTTTTTTTACAACATTGCATTGCATCACTATTTAGGAATCAATGTTTTTTATTTTGATTTTGAAATTTTCATGACTCTTTCATATTACAGTAGAATAGTAGGAAATGTGCAGCCTAGATTAAATATATATACATATATACATATATATATATACATATATACATATATATATATATGCACGTGCATGCGCACACACACACAATATCCTTAGTATGGTGCTTATGTATAATTAAAGTATTTTTTAGAACCATGAAATCCTAACAATGAGAGTAACTACATAGGCCATTTGAGATGTGAGTCTAATATTCAGCGTTGTTTTCTTTCTTGTTTATTTTTTTTTTAAGTGTGCTCCTGTATTCCATTCTCAAGTTTATTTCTCTCATAAGGTCACCATAATGGACTCTGAGAAACTCTTGTCTTTCTTCAGGTGAATGTAGAAGGTGTCCACTGTGACAGGTGCCGGCCTGGCAAATTCGGATTGGATGCCAAGAACCCACTTGGCTGCAGCAGCTGCTATTGCTTCGGCGCGACTACTCAGTGCTCTGAAGCGCAAGGACTGATCCGTACGTGGGTGAGTAAGAACCTGCTGAGCCATGTAATGGTAGAATATTAGCTCCTGCTGGTGTCTTTTAGCCAGGCACTGAGGGGCAGGAGGAAATGGCAAAACATTTAAGTAACCTTTTCCCCGGCGCACATTTAGAAAAATGGTAGAGGGGCCATGTGCCATTGGAGGATTGGAGTAAATGCCTTTTTAAACCTTCTTTTAAAATAGTTCATTTATCGTTGATAAAGAAATCGATGCCAAGGGTAAAAGGCAAACAGCGTAAGGGAAACATGTTTGGGGATGAGAGGAAGCTGCGATATGAAAAGTCAGGGCACCAGAGCATGAATGTCGATCTGTGCGAATGCTTTAATGAAAACTAGAACCGAGTGTCCGTTTATTCCAACCAGCCTTAGAGAATTATAGATTTTTAGGGCGGAAGCATGTTCGTTTTTACTTTAATTTTCCTTGGACCCCTCCTACTTTTAAATTCTACTTTTTATTAGTATAGAAGGCTCCCATGTTCACAGATGTTGGGGTTTTCACTATGCAAACAAGTAAGAAAGATGTACTATTCCCTTGCTCTACTTGCTCACCAAGCACTAGTTCTGTTTCTTGTGAAAACACCTCATGAGAATGGGGGTGTCGGCGCTGCAGATAGACACGCAGTCCATACCTTAGTTTTAAAGGAGGGCCCGGAAGACTGAACTCCGCCCCCGGCTGTGTTCTGATCCCATGCAGGTCACTCTGACGCCTGAGCAGACCATCCTGCCCCTGGTGGATGAGGCCCTGCAACACACAACTACCAAAGGCATCGTGTTCCAAACCCCAGAGATTGTGGCAGACATGGATCTGGTGAGACAAGATCTCCGCCTGGAACCTTTTTATTGGAAACTTCCAGAACAATTTGAAGGAAAAAAGGTAAGGGCAAGAACTTTGAAGACACTTGAGAACAAAGTAAAATAAGCTTTTGGAATCACTCCATTTGGAGATTTGTCTAACTCGTCGCTCCTCCTTTTATTGTGTCAGTTGATGGCCTATGGCGGGAAACTCAAGTACACCATCTATTTTGAGGCTCGAGAAGAGACAGGTTTCTCCACGTACAACCCTCAAGTCATCATTCGAGGCGGGACTCCGACTCATGCTAGAATTATCACCAGGCATGTGGCTGCTCCACTCATTGGCCAGCTGACAAGGCACGAAATCGAAATGACAGAGGTGAGGTCATTAGTTGTTTGGCGTGAGGATGTCGATGGTTTTGCATTCAGTTTTGTCAAGGTGGTTGATTTTCTTGTTACAGAAAGAATGGAAATATTATGGCGATGATCCACGAGTCAGTAGAACTGTGACCCGTGAAGATTACTTGGATGTACTATATGATATCCATTATATTCTTATCAAGGCTACTTATGGAAATTTCATGAGGCAAAGCAGGTAAAGTATAATAGAAAAATACCCAAGTTAAGTTCTTGTTCTAGAGTCTATAGGGAAAATCAATAAGACATCAGACAAGGAAGATTTAGAAGTGTTTGGTATGGGAGCGTGATGATAGAAAACAAGTCAAAGATGACTTCCAGGTGACCTGGTGGAAGTTATTGCCACACCCCCCAAAAGGAAAATAAGATGAGAAGAAAGTTTAAGGGAGAAA